AGCGGAGCAGCTCCGTCTGGTTGGAGGCCATCTCGTCGGAGATCGATGCTGTTCTAGATGGTGCAAGCTCATCACTGTGAGGGATGAGAGAAGACGAAGCGGACAGTGCTGCTCAATGAAATCCAGTCGCGTCACTGTCACTCAAGTTTGCGCCTTGCACCGTTTCACAGCCCAGTGTTTGCAGGTCTTGGGCTGCGCAACGCCCGGCGTATACTTGAGTGACTAGATTGGATTTCAAGGCTTGTGCCTGGTAACTGCCAAAAAACATGACAACGCCATGTGGGACCTCCGATCACGCACGCACGGATGCATGCACGGATGCACGCAGACGCGAGCGTGCACGCACACACCCATACACACGCACACACACACGCACACACACACAAACACACATGCACACACACAAAAACACACATGCACACACACAAACGCACACAAACACACACACACACAAACACACACAGACGCGCGCACGTGCACACATGATCACGGGCGCGCATGCACAATACAAGAATACATGCTGCACAGCTAGCGTACCCATCAGAGCCATCCTGTGAGGCCGCCGCTGCTGCTGCTGCGGTATCTGCAATGTTGGCACTGGCACTGGAGGCGGCGGAGGGTGGCGACAGCTGCTTAGCACGGCGTGCACGCGCACGTCGGCGTCGGTGGCTTGGCGTGTGTGAGGTTTCGTTGTCGTCATTGCCACTGTCAACTGGTGCTGCCTTACCAGTATAGACATTGTCAGCTCCAGCAACGCTACAGTGGACAGAGCAAGTTAAGACAAAAAGACATCCACGTCCATTACTAAGAAAGTTGTGGACGTCACGCAACTGCATTATAAAGAAAAGGGGGTTTGTCAACTGACAGCCGCTCTATTCAGTTGCTTTTCACAATCTGCGCACGCGCTGCATTAATTTTTTTAGTGTGAATCTGTGATGTTGAAAATGATTGATTCACATCTAATACATATCCAAACCCGACCGAGTCTTCCTAGCGGCAACTTCAAGTCCAGTAGCCAGTGCACTGCGGGCTCGTTCATGTGTGCGATGGCAGCACCAACAAACTTGCTTGCTTCACCCGAGTACGATTTTCATACTTGTAATTCATATGCCACCGCTGAACAATACCTTTTTTTTTGCAGTCAGAAGAGCGACAGGCTGAATGAAGTCTCATTTCAAGTAAATACAGACTGCAAAATAAATACAACTCGATGGAGAGTCAAGGATTAAAATTAAAAAAGAGAGGACCATAAGTAAAATGAATACTTCAGTAAGATGTAAAATGTACTTCGATTCAGCAGTTTGTTAAAGTTTTACGGTCCACAGGAGACTCAACAGGACTGGTATCTCCGAGTCCATACGAACGCAACGACCCCAAGGATCAAGACGAAGGCGCAGCTCCTATAAAGCGGTGGGAATAATACAGATTATATTCTGGTAATGAGAATACTAGTATGGCGCAATGGGAACGTGCCACTTATTTAGAACTTTTAATTGCAGTCCAGAAGTTTGCAGACTCAGAATAAGTGCAGGTTATGCACGTAGTTCAGAATTTGAGTTCTATGACTCAAGCCAGATCTCATGAAGTATTCAAATTCCTGTCAAATGCAGCTATTCCAAACATGAATACTATACAGTCAGATATTCACCAGTTTGGGGCGAAAATACACCAGTTTGGGGTGAACATGCACTTTTCTTGCGCCATTCTGCCCTTCATAGCTCCATAAGAGCATCAGTGAAAAATGCAATAATTCATGCAGATGGTGTCCCAGTACTACATGACATTCTACTGGCCAGTGAAATCCAACCTCCTATATAAGAGGCCTGGTGGTGATGCACCGTTATCACCATGAACTCTGCCAGTGGGTGTGTGCGTGCAGTGAGTGTGGCTCTGTTTCATTTCACGACGCTGGATTTCACTGGCCGTCACCACCGTACCAGTGCTTAGTAGTAGCAGTTGCCTTACTTTGGATAAGGGTCGGCAGCCTGCACACTTCTTTGCTCCTGTGACAGCTGCTGCTGTTGGGCCGAGGACTGGGATAGAGTAACAGAATGACATACGGGGGCACGCACACAAACACATGATCAGAGCAGCAGCAGCAGCACCGGCGCGCATACAGTCAACTTCGCTTATAACGACACTCGGCGGGGCGTCAACAAGGTGTCCTTACTCGCGAAGTGTCCTTATACCCGAAGTCTCACTATATGTATTACAGTGGGATGGGACTTTGCTCTGGGCATGGAAATTCTGTCGTTATTCGCGAATTGTCGTTATATCCGCAGTCGTTATTAGCGAAGTTGACTGTGCATACAGTGCTGCTGCTGCAACTCAAACAGGTAGACAGCCTCCTTTACGGGCAAAATAAACACAATGAATATTTTTTCCTAACATTTCCACAAAAAACCAAACCAAACCAAAACAAAACTCAAACAGGTTGGGTCACGTGCACACCCCCCGCCGCCGTCGCCACACTCAGGGATGCCCACGATTCAGCAGACAATCTACATGTATTCGCAGGACAGCAGCACATTACAATGGGGGATACAGAGCATGCATGCGCCGTAAAGTACCATTGATCAATGAAGCATAACCCCACGGTACTGTTGGCGGCCACAGTTGCTATGTACTCACAAGTTCTGGACTGTTCCCATGGACAGCACTCAGTCTGGATGAAAGTGGAAGTGAGCTAGGGTCAGGGGGAACTGCTGCTGCTGCAACTGCTGCTGGAGTCACTGGTGATTCTGCATGGTACAAACATATGCCAATCAGAATGCACTCAGAAAAAGAAAGAGTCTTCACCACAAAGCCATACGCAAAAAGTACAAAAGAAAAAAAGCACCATATTTTCCTCAGGCTTGATCGCATTTACGACGACATGCTCCAGACTACAGTGCAGTTCATAAAATGCTGTGATTATTCACATGCCACATTCACATTCACGGGTTGGTCAACCTGCACGACCGTGCTTCCATGGAAATCAACTTACCCAGGCGGGCGATGTATTCGGCTTGAGCAGCCTTTGTGCGCTGCAGAACTTTATTAAGCTCAGCCTCTAGGTCACGCTCCCCGGGGGACTTGGGAGCCGTAGGAGAAACACTCCCGCTACTATGGACGTCAAGTGGTGCTGCTACATGCTGGGAGGCAGCTGGTGATGGCTCAACATCACTATCCTCTTCAGCATCGCTCACAACCTCTTCCTCTACCACAATTACGTCTTCGCCGCTCAAATCACCTGCACTGGCAGTCAAAGAGTCTACTTCGAGGCCCGCGGCTGTTGTCAGCAAATGCTCCAATGTGCTAGAGCGTGACGCATCCAATGTTGATTCTATAGCTTCCCCAGACTTGGGAGCAGCTGCTTCTCCAAGAGATGGCTGCCCAGCAAGAATCGAGGCAGTGGAGCTGGTGCCTCCAGGCAGAAGGCTGAAACACAATGAAAAGTGCAGAAAAAGACTGAACAGAAGCCAATCGGACTGGCACACCTATTACCACAACACTGCAGAATATTAGGGAGGTTCCGGAGTACGATTTTTCGTGCCAAAATCCGTGGAGGCTCTACGGATTTTTTATACGTCATTTTCGAGCAGTGAAAAGTTCCGGGGTACGGAACTTATGTGTTTGCCGTCATTGCCTAGGTTACGATCGCAAACACGTCACATTCCCGCGCTATGCCTTTTTATTTTGAAAATTTGTACCGAAATCAAAACTTCCCGCGAAAAATCGATGTTTCTCGTACCAAATTTGTACGCGAAAAATCTTTCTGCACCTGATGACGCAAAATCTCCATACGAAGCATGGTTCGTATGAAAGCCAGTCCACACGGATTCTCGTGCCGAAAAATCGTATGGAGCACGCCTGGAAAAAATCCGTAGCGCCCATACGGATTTTGGCACGGAAAATCGTACCCCGGAACCTCTCTATTATTATTTGAAAGCTACGGAGGAGCAGCCAGGGTGGTGCATCAAAAAAGGTGTTAGTTGTCTCATATTCAGGGAGATAGAAACAGAAGCAAATGCGCTAATGCACCGAGAAGCAAAGGTGTCGGCTAAATGGTGTGAACTATTTCACCTTCAGGGAAGGAAAAACAGAAGCCAATTCCTTAATGCACAGCAAAGCAAAGATGCAGGCCAAAGATGTGAGTTGTTTCACAAATGCGCTATGTACTGCAAAGCAAAGATGTAGGCAGAATAGGTGAGAAAAACAACTCAGATGTAACTGTCCTTGGTTTTCCCTCCTGTACTTCACACTTCTCACTCCCATCAACCAGAAACGTGGCGCCAACAACAGAATTCAATGACAATGCCCTCACTCACTCACTCCACAGATACAATGGCAATGATGTACATGTACCTCAAACTAATAAATTAAAAATACCACGTTTCCATATTTCCACACTGAGCGAAAAGAATCATTCTGCCTCACACAGCTGACAATACAGGCACACCAAGCAATGCTACTGCATAGTACATACCTTGATGATGTCAGGGCATCCGGGGCTGCAGCCAAGCTGTTGAGTGACATCGAGTCGAGGAGTGCGGACGATAAGGGCATGGCACTACCCATGCCTGCTGCTCCTGCTCCGCCACCGCCACCACCAAGCAGAGGCAGAGCACCACCGAGGGCACCCAGGGGATTCAGAGGACGCAGGGGCAGACTGCCGCCGCCACTGCCACCCAGCTGCAGATCGGCCAGTAGCTGTGCGGATTGCGGCGACGCTGCAGTAGCAGCTGGAGCAGGCGCGGACGAGTGCGGTGGTAGGGCAGAAGCCATTGCCGGCAGCTGCGCTGAAGCGGACAGTGGTGAATGTGCGGCACCGGAGAGCGGTGAACTGACGCTAGCATTAGCAGTGCTACCAGCAGCGTGAAGTAACGAGTTCAAACTGCTACTACTGCCATCCATGCTACTCTGGAGTAACAGTGCAGATGATGACAGCAATGGAGAGGCTGCTTCACCACTGCCAGGACCAGCACCTGTGATAGTAGGCGTCGAGGAGTTGCGCTCATCATTGGTCGATGTCCCGATGAGCGGCAACGACGAGCTTTCACCAGTGCTGGTCGCAAACGCAGCTGGAGTGAGCAGTTCGGCCTGGTCTGGTTTTCTATTCAACATTGGCGATGATGTTACTGGGGAGAGAGGCTCGCCTGGCACTGGCTTCACTATGGAAGAGCCATTGTCATTGGAAGCAAGAGAAGTGTCCATACTCTGGTTGTCTGTGGTTTCCTCAGGAGCAGGATCGCCAGAGTCAATGCCCGTTGCAAAGGGTGTGCTTGTTGGCGATGCAAAGAGTAAGCTGGAGCGGTCCAATCTGCTATGATCAAGAGATGAATCACCAGCATCCAGGGTACTGGCTGATAGTGTGGAAAGAAGACAAAACGCACAGCACACACCAATGCACCACGACAGCAGCAGCCGCAATGGCACCGTAGTGGACATATACATTGTATATGAGATAGGATAGTGCCGAAACACATTTCTATAAGAGAGAGAGAGAGAGAGAGAGAGAGAGAGAGAGAGAGAGAGAGAGAGAGAGAGAGAGAGAGAGAGAGAGAGAGAGAGAGAGAGAGAGAGAGAGAGAGAGAGAGAGAGGGAGAGAGGGAGGGAGAGGGAGAAGACCACAACATAATATTATAGTCTGCTAGATAATGAAATTGCACTTGCTTAGCGGATACAGCACACATACGTGCGTAACTTTGGTATGTTTCTTATGCATGCACATGTACTGTGAATAAATCTACAACATGCGAGTCAGCACGCTCTAGCACATTCTGTGAATACTTGGTGAGGAAAGGAGTAAGGTCTGGAATAAGCTACATTATGCGCACGGGTGCTGCGTATGCTTTTTGATAAGGAAAGATGTTTTATGTACCTGGATCACTAGCCATCCTTGACAACAGGTCACCCTCAGTGCAGGAATTAGCGGAGCTGGCGGTCACAGTGGCAGAGCTGGTAGCCAGTGCCCCAGAACTATCTTTTTGCTGCAATGAGAGGTGGACATTCAATTCCTGAACCTCTCTGCAACACACACACAGACATACAGACGGATACACACACACACCCGCACACACACACACACACACACACACATACAAAGTATTAAAGGGATGAGGAGTGCTGCCAAATAATTTTCACCCAAACTCAGACACTGCTTCCAGACACTAAATGAAAAATCACAGCTGCGTGCCACACGAGGAGCCTACCCACCACCTAGTGTATTTTTCTATGGGCAGAGTGTATCTAAAAGTTGCTATTTGTCGATAGATGTTGACTTCTGATGTCCTCACTTTCAAGCCCTTTACTTTTTATTACTATGTACACAGTAACATCTTCGGGCTTTCTGGCGATATTGGAGCGGTTGTTTTTGGATCGGTTTTTCAGGAGGGCGAATATTCCGACAGCGTCCAATATATCGCACCATGTGGCAGCTCTGGATGGTTAGTTCAAGATACGGAAATACCAAAACTGAAAGAAGAAGGAAAGGTAGATACATACACACAGTCAACTTTGCATATAAATGCATATAACGACACTCGGGGGGGGGGGCATCAGAAAAGTGTCCTTATTCGCGAAGTGTCTTTATACCCGAAGTCTCATTATAATAATATTATTATGTATTTACAGATAGATGGGACTTTGCTCTGGGTATGGACATTCTGTCGTTATTCGCGAATTGTCGTTATATCCGCAGTCGTTATTAGCGAAGTTGACTGTACATACATACATAAATCCGTTGATCGCCGAGCTGCAGAGAGAGAGCTCAATGTCAGAGACAGAGCTTAGCTCCTGCTTAACAAGCGGTCTGAGGTTATCTCGAAATGCAGGCACGAGAATAAGTTCCGCATCACAAATTTCACACCTATCCAATGAACTGATTAAAGGGGAAGTATACCCTAAAATCAAATTTTCACCAGTTGTAGTCTTCGGGGTGCTGAGTCGAATGGTCTTGGTCCGAGGAAGCTGAGACGCTCCCTTCCTACTTGAATCCCAATCGAACTCGCGCACTTCCACCGAAACTGGGTGACTGCGCCCTACTAGATGGGGATTTGTATGCAAAATGTCACTAAAAGCGCCATTTCGTTCTTATAAAAGCACGGATGACCGCGATTGGCCCATATGTTGTAGTCTTTTGGACGCTGAGTCGACTGGTTTTGGTCCGAAAAGGCTGCGATGCAGCGTTCCTCCTTTATTCCCAATCGAACATGGTTGAACAAGCGGTCACGTGCTCCTGCGTACACCAGTCACCTGGTCACCGTGCCTGCAGGGTACAACTTACTAGCCTGTTTGACCTTTTTTGGGTGCAGTCCTGTCACTCGAGTTGAACCTTGGTGTGAAAGTTGTCGCCTGCTGGCGCGGTGACCAGGTGATTTGGGCACCCAGGAGCACGTGACCGCTTGTTCAACCATGTTCGATTGGGAATAAAGGAGGAACGCTGCATCGCAGCCTTTTCGGACCAAAAACAGTCTACTCAGCGTTCAAAAGACTACAACATATGGGCCAATCGCGGTCATCCGTGCTTTTGTAAGAACGAAATGGCGCTTTTAGTGACATTTTGCATACAAATCCCCATCTAGTAGGGCGCAGTCACCCAGTTTCGGTGGAAGTGCGCGAGTTCGATTGGGATTCAAGTAGGAAGGGAGCGTCTCAGCTTCCTCGGACCAAGACCATTCGACTCAGCTCCCAGAAGACTACAACTGGTGAAAATTTGATTTTAGGGTATACTCCCCCTTTAAGTACTGTATTGCACTTTGCCTGACAACCCAATATCAAGTACAGTACCGTAATACCACAATCCCCTGTTGTTGTTGACCTATGCCACTCTGCTCACGCCTGCCCGTCAGCCAAATACCCCTAGCGATCTCACTGGCCTGTTGCCCGCCATCCTCCTGGCACCTACACCCATCTGCTGTTCACTGCCTCCCATCGCCTCTTTCCATGCTTTCATGCTCACACCTGCCTGTTGCCCATGGATGCAGCTAATGGGGTCGTTTTCGGCACTTGTGGCAGTGGTTGTGAGACTTATCCACTCACCCCCACCGTTAGGCGCTGCATCTGCCGCTAGGGTTTATCGGGTGTTAGCGGCCGTCGTGAGTTCCCTTCGGGAACGGACACGATAATTTACTTTTTTTTTTACTTTTTTACCTGCCTGTTGCCCGCCACCCTCCTGGCACTTCCACTCGCCTGTTGCCTCTCCTAGCGCCTTGGCCCGCGCCAGCTTTCTCCCCATACCTTACACCACCAGATCTAGCGCTAATTTGTTTATGCTTTTGCATAAGCAACACCCTACAGTAAGATCGGGCGCCGAAGAACACCTCGCCGAAGAACACCCAGGCTGGAAAACCGGCAAAATTTAAGAACAGTCCAGGCTAGAATTATCAGATTTAAGAACACTTTTAAAATTGTATACATTGTACATGTATGGGAGGTGAGTACATGTCATGTACACGTGTAAACAGTAACTGCTACATGTACAGTCGTTCCTATTTACGACACCCACTAGTTTAGAAGTACTACATTGCACTACATGTACATGTACATGTACATGACAAACGTCATGACGTCACTCGACTCGCCGCGCGCGTGGGAATAAGAACGGTCTGGCTAGAATCAAAAAATTAAGAACTTTCCTAGGCTGCGCTCGAGCCCCTGCGTTCTTCGGCGCCCGATCTTACTGTAAGACAACACTAGACATGGCTTACAGCAGACTACAGGAACCAAGCTTTCGCCAGGGTCTGAGTGGGAGTGGGGGGGGGGGGGGGGGAACAATGGGGTAAGATACAAGGGTGACACATGCCTGATGGTAACATGCAGGCTGAGAGAGAGAAAGAGAGAGAGAGAGAGAGAGAGAGAGAGAGAGAGAGAGAGAGAGAGAGAGAGAGAGAGAGAGAGAGAGAGAGAGAGAGAGAGAGAGAGAGAGAGAGAGAGAGAGAGAGAGAGAGCGGGAAGGGGCGTTACAGCCAAAAGACTGAACGAGAAAGAACTCTTACTTCGGCTGTAAACAGCAGAGGCGCAGGATTTCACGCACTCTCCGCTGGTCGGTGGAACCAACCCGCTGCGGTGGGGGAGTGCCAGTGTCTAGGATGACATCAACAACAGAGAAGCTGAGCACTGGCTGAGAGAGCACAAACTCTGCAACTGAGATGAACTGTGCACGGCCATTCACACCATCTTGTGCCAGGTGAAGAACATACAACACCTGCAGGACGCGTAGGGAGACATGAATATACACAGACAAAGCACACACACCTCAGACCTCAGACATGCCCATCGCGTAAGCGATGATAGCGAACAGCTATGTTAAACATAGCAACTTGTGCTGGGATTACAGCACACACGCACACACACGTATGCACACACACACACACACACACACACACACACACACACACACACACACACACACACACACACACACACACACACGTATGCACACACACACGTATGCACGCACACGCACACACAAACACAGGGGGAGGGGGTTAGACCAGTTCAGAACAGAACAGGAGGCAGGCTGAGTGGATAGCATGTAGATACCCAAGGTAGGTATCCATACTTGATTGGCCAGTACCTGTCAAGATGCGGTGTAGGCAGCATGATGATACCATCGCCTATCGGTACCTATGGACTGACAGTCTGTGTGTGGTGTACGGCGGAGTGCTGCTGTCAACTGTGGTTCGTCAGTCACCTGTTCTGCGCAGTGCGCAGTCTGCATGTGCCGGGACATGTACACAGAGTCTGCGCATAGTAGATGCCGGTAGCACAACAGCCTACAGTACAGGTACTGACTTCATGCATAACTGTTACTGTGTCGACTGGAGCAGAGTTTGCAGGACTTCTGTACAGACATCTACTTGTGAGGTCGAGTACTTGCACAGCTCTACATGCATCTACTTCGAGGTTAGTGTGGGTTCGAGGTAACTGAGGTTTACACGCAATAGTAAAATCTGAGTCGAACTCTAAGTCGGAAAGTCACAATGCGTCTTCTTGCTTTAAAAGCTTTCAGTTTGTTTCCATTTACTTTTGTCTATTACTACTAATTTCCATGTCCTGCCAGCGTGGCAGAAATGAAGCGAATGAAGCGCTTTCGTCAAGCGAAAAGTGGAGATTAGTTTTCAGCGCCTTCTTCCAAACGTCAGATACCGATGGTTCAGACAACTCTGCAAGCCTCGTTGAGGCTAACGATGTCTCGGTGTGCAATTCCGTCGACATGGGCAGCGGATCCGCTTCAGTCCAGCCCGAGTGAGCGGACTCTCCGAGCATCTTCGTCTCTGAAAATCAGTCTGGAATGTCGGATGGACCCTGGTGCTCTTGTAGAAGTTGATTCTCCGGAACCTGCAGCTGATCCTGCAACTGCAGACCGACCTGAAGCCGGTACTCTTCTTCCGCAACTGTTTCGCAATGTCGGCGGTCTGATGATCCGGGAACAAGGAGAACTGCAGGGACAGTGGGTGGTGTGCAAGGCTCGTGGCTGAAGTTGCCAGTTTCGCTAGGTTCGAGGGAGAAGTTTGAGCTACTTCAGCACCATTTCCGACCACCTGGGACCTATGGCATTGCTTGGCATGCACATTGTTCGGAGGTGAGAGCAACACGTTTGGCGCCATCGACTAGGTCAGCTGTATTCTACTTCGAAGTAGTCTGATGATGAGGTGTGGTACAGCATCAGCTTTGCTAAAATTGCACAGCGACCAAAAAGCCCACCGTGACTCCATTGCTACGCTAGCGACCTTCAAAGCAGCGCAGTCCGCAGGAGTCACATTCATTCCATCGGTCGAGCGCGGGTGGAATGTTGCCAACATTCACATCTCCACAGATTCAGAATGAGCTGATAGCATGTTGTGGTGATGATATTCGTAAGTATCTGCTGCAGGAGATCCGTCAAGCTCCTTGCCTTCAGTGGGCTGGCAGATGAAGCAGTTGATTGCAGTGACATGGAACAAATGCCAGTTGTAATTCAGTTTGTGGATACCAGCTTCAAAATACGGGAAGAACTCCCGGGCTTTGTGGAACGTGCTGAACGTACAAGTGGCAGGGCATTGGCTGATTCTGCCGTATGCTTCCTTTGAAGCTGCAAGCTTGATTTGTCTCGTCTACATGGTCAAGGCTATGGCGGAGCCACTTATACGACCATGGTCATGCACTGCAGTGCCCACTGCCTTCAACTTGAGCGTGATCCAAATGTCCAACATTGCTGCCGATGATGAAGACTGATGAAGCATTCTAACTTATGTGCAGAAACCGGTCCGGTTCAATTTTGTTTGGCAACATGTAACTAACTCTAACCTTTTTTACTGTGCTCTGGTGTGTTGGGGTTCAACTAAACTCGCCGTGCGCAACATGGGCATAGTGGTCCTGGAGGTCAGCATGATCTTCGCTGGTTCACTGAAGCGGCAGAATAAGCTAAAGGGGACAGTCGAGGCAACTCTGGAAAGTACTTTCCGATTCTAAGAAGAAGTTGGTTGACCTGCGCCACACTGGCTGGGCTGCCCGCCATTCGCCCTTGTCACCGTTGCAGAATTGTACCCAGCTGTAGTCAAATCTCTGGAGGGTATCAGCATGGATAACTCATGGGATGCAGCCATGGGATATAAGGTATCCTCACTTCCGAGATCTTCCCCACGACTTCAATTCCATTGCCAATTCCACAATCGTATCGAATGTGATGGCCTACATCCACTCCATTACCATCCAACTCCAAGGAGTTACACAGGGACATCAGCAAGGCTTACCCAGAGGTTAAATCTGTAACTGATATTGTTGGCTAAGCCAGAACGCAAGTGGACAAACCGACAAACACATGCGGACTGGTGGGATGAAGTAGCCAGGATGGTAGATAAGGTAATTACTTGATCAATCTTGCAACCCAATTGTTCTATGAGTTGACTGCAAACAAGTGTTGCATGGGCACTTGCATTCACCAGAACATAGCCAACCGCGTGCTTTCCCTGTTTGCAACGGATTGCCACTACACACACCACGGCAGGCAATATAGAAAATTGAGTGATTTGAATGATAATTGAAGTATATTAAATTTTACGGCCTTTGGGTCTTGAGCAACGTTATAATTAGCCGCTTACGGGCTCACCACACTACAGTAAGGAGGTGGGGACAAGGCTCAGAAAAAGATCGACAGCAACAGGGGCTCCGTCCCAGGAACAAACTACACTTACCCCCATGCCCATGAAGGTGACACACACACACACACACACACACACACACACACACACACACACACACACAGGCGCACACGTACACACACACACACACACACACACACAAGCGCACACGTACACACACACGTACACGTACACACACACACACATACACACACACGCACATTCAACTAACCTTGCGAGTGATGTCACTTAAAACAAAGAACGATGCAGAAGAATCCATTGCCAACTGGAGACGTGGCTCAGTGGCACCAAAGATGCTGTACATAAAGGGACAAGGAAACATTACAAAATAACTTACATGTAGTTTGGGCCTGGTTTAAATATGGCTTTGGAAAATTCAAAATTTATTTTTCCTTGCTATCAGGTTCGGCCTCACTTCCTCTGTGCTGCGCTGATGAGTTCACAAAGAACGAAACAGCATGCTGACCGCAGATTGAGTAACTGTAATAGACATAAAAATATAAAACCTAGTTTAACTGTACTTATTACAATACCGGCTATCCTGCACTTGGGTCGAAGTATGCACCCACCCAAATCCACACCTGTACTCTACAGAGCTGAACAGCAGGCCATAACGACCTCTATCAAGCCTCAGAGGACTATGCCAAGGCCACAGCAGCTGCACAACACATACCTGCCGCCAGCATTGGCACTCGACTCCGGTTCAAAGCTGGAGAAGAACACCGGTGCAAACACGCCAGAGAACGCATGCAGTCAGACAGCAGTCAAGCAAGTAAGACAGGGCAGTAGTGAATCACCACAACACTCTCCTAGCACACTACAGCTGTACTAGTAAAACATTCAGAGAGGTTTTCTGAAAATACAATAAAGAGGTTCCGGAGTGCGATTTTTCGTGCCAAAATCCGTAGAGGCGCTCCGGATTTTTATACGTCGTTTTCGAGCAGTGAAATGTTCCGGAGTACGGAACTTATGTCTTTGCCGTCATTGCCTAGGTTACGATCGCAAACACGTCATATTCCCGTGCGATGCCTTTTTACTTTGAAAATTTGTACCGAAATCAAAACTTCCCGGGGAACATCGATGTTTCTCGTACCAAATTTGTACGCGAAAAATCTTTCTGCACTCGATGATGCAAAATCTCCATACGAAACATGGTTCGTATGAAAGCCAGTCCACACGGATTCTCCGTGCCAAAAAATCGTATGGAGCATGCCTCGAAAAAATCCGTAGCGCCCACCGATACGGATTTTGGCACGGAAAATCGTACCCCGGAACCTCTCTAATAAGTGAACTAAGACATCTCTTATGTACAGGAAGACATTGGCGAACTATGACCATTGCACGACGGTTAGACAAGTATTCGAAGATCTGCATCAATTTCCCATGTTCCATCCCAATTTTCGTGCCACCCTCACACATCTGCTTGTGGCAAGCTGAAGAGTAAAGTTGTGTCACCTACACGTCAACATTATAGGTATAACAAAGATGGAAGAATACACTGGAATACCTCCCGTAGACCACACACACGCGCGCGCACACACACACACGCACACACACACACGCACACACACATGCACACACACATGCACACACACACACACACGGACACATACTGGGGCGGAACACACAGAATTGCAATACAACACTGAGAAACTAGAGTACCCCCCCCCCCCCCCCTCTCCCCCACCAATAGTCGACTGTAACCCCATTCGTACCTGATGGTTTGTAAGCATTCCCACTTCACAGTACACCAGATCTTGAGCACGCGGTTGGACTCAGCAGCTGTCACCACGAAGCGCCAGAACGTGCGACTGGAAAACACCACAGTCAGATCGCACAGCAAACTTCAAACATACAGCGGCGGCAATGGAAATCCGACTTCACAAATGAACAAGACGCACATATACAGTGCAGACGCACATACACAGCTCCGGCCACAGTTATAGAAGCCACACCAAAGACGAATGCCAGAGAGTACTCATTCAACAGACTGCCAGAATCACACCAGTGCATCACCGAAACAAGGAATGCGCGCACGGCACTGCCTCTTAGCACGTACTCAGGGTTATGGCTGACTCGGTCATCACAGAAGATGATACTAGAGACTCGTGCACCGTCGTGTGGAGACCATGTGTGTAGGCAACTGAAGACAGCACACAAACAACCAGACACACAGAGATGGACAGCACTTTAGAAGATACGCGAGAACTTTGGCCCCCCTCACACCCACCCACCCACCCACTCACCCACGCGCACGCACACACACACACAGCGATCCACACGGTGACTCACTGCGGGCTAGTCTTCAACGTTGCTTGGTCAACCTGCCAGAACCGGACAAGGCCATCACCTCCGCAGGACGCGAGAACAGCGGCATCTGGAGACAGACTGAGGTCGTAGATATTCTACACATAAACACACACACACGCACGTACACAACATGTACAAAGTTGATAACCACTCAGCAGTCGAATTACTGACTGCTGAGGCACATCAGTACAAAACACAAACGAGAGGGCTTGAAAGCCCAGGAGCTGTATGGGATAGCACCAGGTATGCCCGACGGCCGATGGCCGACAACACACACGCAAGCACGCATGCACGCACACACACACTGTACTGTACTGCACTTGCTCACTGCCAAAATTGGTTACGTGGGTCTCCCCGGGAGAGAGGAGAGAGGAACTCAAAAGAAATCTTGGAAAGAGGACTCAACTGGCTATTGAACCGCCCAACGGCCGACAACCCCTGAAATCCCCGAAACTCTGGGTGGAATTGAAAATGATCCCACTTACGGGCTCACCACACCTCAGTAGTAAGTGGGTGAGGACAAAGTGCAGAAAAAGGATTGACGGCATCAGGGTACCCGTCCCGGGATCCAACTGCAGTTACCCCCTGCCCCCAGTGAGGGTAATACTTGGTACTAGTGTGGGTGGCTAAATCAGAGTGGATTTGACATAAGCTTCACCAGCACCAGTGATTACACAAGAGTTAATCTAGCCAGAAGCGCACGCACGCACGCACACACACACAGAAAGAAACGTAATAAAGCGCTGTGGACCCTGGCTAGCACTAGGCGCTACTAAAGTAACGTCTTTTGCATAGCTACGGGAATAAAGGCATAAGGGGCCGTCCGTAAATGTCGATAGTTTTTACAATCCGTGAAATTTTTGTACCTGGGTGGTGGGTGCAGCCGAAATTCAAAGTAAATAAAATATCGATGACACGCAGACCTGGCGCCCAGTACTGCGTGTGCGTGGGTCTGCGTGCGTCGAACCACACGTACACGTAGATTGTTGTCTCCAAAAAATGTAGTGGAGATCGAAACTCTTGAAGCAAAAGAAAGAGGGAAGTTTGTCAGATATTATTCACAAGTATAATTATTGCACAATTATTCGAAGTATCACAATACCTGATTAATCCGGGTCAAGTTCAGCTCTTATTTGAACTCCACATCGAAGAATTGCTACATCGCCAATGGTTGGAACAGTTCCCATGTGGAGCGTGGCCTAACGAAAATGGCACGGCAGACTACTTTGTTTGGTACAGCTGCCTAACGAAAATGGCACGGCAGACTACTTTGTTTGGTACAGCTGCCAAAAAAGATAAGTTTTTCAAAGAGCTTGACAGCCCTGGTGAAGACGACGATGGCTACTACGCCGTCCTCGAGGCCTTGTGGACTGTTGAAACGTCCAATAATCGATCTGCGTTTTTCACCAAAGCACAGAAGCAGTGGATGGAGACGTTTTCCGCAGACCCGCAGGCAAGGTCGGAGATCATCCAAAAGGCCATTTCACTCAGAGCGAAGGACGGGCAGAAGCTAGGAAGTAGCATTTTCGCACAGACTTCCACCTCCGCCGACACCCCAAAGGACGCTGCACTGAATGACACGGTGAGCGCATGCCTGCGTGTGTATGGACTCCACCTACATTTATGTAGGTACAGTACATGTGTCATCAATATTTTATTCCGTAAAAAGTAGGGGGGTGGGTGGTGGGTCCTGGTTACTTTGTAAAATTCACGGATTGAAAAAAACTATTGATATTTATGGATGGCCCCTAACTGTACATAAATGATGGTCAAATCTCACCTGCTCATGAGCGGTGTCCACAACAGTAATACCAGCAAGAATGGTCTCCTGTGCCAAGGGGGTGTCTCCGATTTGTGCAGAACGGGCAACTTCAACATCATACACCACCGCCTGAAACAACAACAACAACAACAACAACAACAACAACAACAACAACAACAACAACAACAACAACAACGACGACAACGACAATGATTACAACACTGGCGATTGAGGCAACAGCAGTGGCAACAACAAAATTAGTAGGGCTGAAACGGTTAGAGTTTTCAGCTGATCCGTTAACCGGAATCTTAACGGTTACAACCTACCTCTAAGGCACATACCTACTTTCATGTGCCATTGTGCATATCCCGTGACCTCAGTCACTACCCAGACCGCCTGGATTAGAGAGATATTGTTTGGTTTGGCCTCATTTTCTCTGTGCTGCGCTGATGAGTCCACAAGAGACGAAACAGTTCTGTCTGCAGATTGAGTAAGAGAGATATTCTAAATGTACCTGACAATTCAAAGAAGATGTGCACACAGTAGAAACAGCAATGAAGATGTAATGTGCTCATTGCCTGGAAGAGGCATGCCCTTCCCCCCCCCGCAGCCGCTAACTGACTCACCGTACAGCCATGGACAACACCGAGAAAAGTGTGCGTGCCATCATCATCGTCATCGCTGTCGTCAACGACAACAGGCTTGTTGCCCGGTATGGGCACATGCGGAGACCACACCAGGCGGTGCACCTCATCTGGATTCGGCTCCTTCTTGCTGTGTACAATCAAACACACCGAGGACTGGATGTCATCCTCCGCATCGGACAGCTCCCATATAAACAGGTTGCCGCCGCTGTCCACACAGCCAATCAAGTTGCTGGAGGCGTGTGCAAACGCCACGTCGGCTACAGGCGCCAGAAGACCCTTGAGTAGAGTACGGGTGGAGGTGCGCTGGTTGATAACCCTCACCATATAGCCATTCTTGCCTAGAAGCCGCCACCCCACGCACATACAATCAAAACAGTCACAAACAAATTATTAACCCTTTACCATCCGACCAAATTTCCCCAGCAGTCCCAAATGCAATAATTCTCACCTTATTCTGAGAATATCTTCGGTTCTAATCAACCAATTTTCACAATCTTGGGCATTCTGGAAAGCTCTCCACGAGCTGCGTACATTGAGCTCAAACAGGGCACGACCGAGATCACATATCCAGCGCCAGGGAGCTTCAAATACACCCCATCGCTGTATATACGAGGAAATTCTCTCCTCGTCAGCCATTTCTCGCTCCTTCATCGTAAACATTCCAAATGTTTTGCTTGAGTTTCTTTTCATGCTGCCCACGCGCTCGAAGCATGCCAAAGTGACTCAGCATGTCAGGAGAGGGGAAAATCCCCGCTGAAGGTCAGTCACTCGGAAAGAAATTCGACTTTTGCCGTAGCTGAAATGTCGAGCAAAATATCTTTGGAATGCGACATCGCAGCTCTTTACCGACTGGTGCAATGGAAAGCTGGGTTCTTCGGCTTCTTTCTAGATACTTAGTTCTTTAAATTCCGCCAAGAATCGATCGAGTTACGAATGTTTTAGTGTATGCATGTCCATCGATCTCTAGAGATCGATTCAAGTACGCACGGATGGTAAAGGGTTAAAAACATGTATACATGTAACCGCAGCCCCCTCCCCCTCCAACTTACCAACTACTGGAAGACCAGACCACCAATGTACAGTTGCGGCCAAAGAAATCCCAAACCCATGAGCCGCAATACATGTATGCACTGGACGGGCGCTGTGCAACTCCAGACCTGCTCATACCGCAATACATGAATACACTGGACGGGCGCTGTGCAACTCCAGACCTGCTCATACTGCAATACATGTATGCACATGTACGCAACCATCATCATCTTCAGTTATTACCCTATCCCTTTGGTTTAATGCATTATACAAGCCACCCAGCAAAGCTTCAAGAAGTCTGTGACCCCAGATGGAAATTGCAAAGCGTGGGGAAAAACAAGAAAGTCAAGAATGCAATGTGTATATGCGTGCACGCCGTCACCACACATCACCACACGTGCCCGGATGCACACACGTGCATGCACGCACGCACACACACACACACACACACACACACACACACACACACACACACGCACACACGTACACGCACACACCTGCACACACACACATACGCGCACACGAATGCTGCATGCATGCTTACCCCTGACAGCATATGCAAAGTAACGGTCATTGGACGCCACAAGGACTCCATCGTAGAAGTTTTGTTCCCATGACTGGTTGGCAATAGAAACATTCTTGACCTTCAAATATAAAATGCATATTTGTACACATTGCAATCTGTAAAGCCTCAACAAGATACCAAATAAATGTTCAAGAAAAGGATTTTGGCAGAGCACCTAGGCCTCAAAATGTCTGCTTGTTTAGAACTGTTTAGAATCACAACCTATAAACCATCCAAGAGAGATAATTCGTTTGCAGACAACGTTCATTATAACGTCACCTTCCGCCGTCCCACAGGTTCGATTCCCCTCATTACAAGACACAGCAAATGGCCACGGACTGCGAAAGTAGTCAGATAGCTCAATATTGGCTGCCAGCAATTTGGCGTCAAGTTTGAAAACACGATCAAACAGACACACACAGACACACACAGACACACACATTCACAGACATACACACACACATACACACACACACACACACAACACACACACAACACACACAGCAGGCACAACAGGCAAGCAATCCAGGGAGAAGAAAGGCAAACACTCACAAGGCTGCTAGCACACATCGGGTCGGTGCTGCTGCCATCCAATGATGTCTTGGAGCTGGCGACGATCTTCACCATCTTTGTGCTTGCAATGGGGATGCCATTGGGCCTGTCCTCTCCTGTCAAGCCGATGATCTGTTCTTCGTCAGTCAACTCCTCCAGCTCCATGTTGCCAGCCACCTGCGCATGCCGAATATCACGCGCGCATACAGCAACAAGCCCATTGCGCAATGACGCAATTTGTACCGCGGACACCCCACACAGGCACCTGGGCATGGCCGTCTGGGGTGTTGAACAGTTCGCCCCCGATCGCAGCGTACCCGCAAGCATTACTCATGCAATCAAAATTAATTTGGCAATACGCAATGGGCTTATGGGCACCTGCACCTCAACAGCACTGCCGTACTTAGTCACCGTGTTGGTGAACTCATCTGCCAACTTCCTTCCTGAACGGCTGTCTGCTGTTCACATGTGTTGACGTGCCATACTACACCGGCAACAGCACAGAGCATCTCAACTCGCCACACCATGCAAGGTTTATCACCAAAAATCATCGCAGACACAAAGTACAATGTAACGTACCTCACACACACATACACACACCTCAGACCTCAGACCTGCCCATCGCGGAAGCGATGATAGAGAGCAGCTATGTTAGACATAGCAACTTGTGCTGGGATTACACCATTCAACAGCTTGCAAGGCTGATGAATTGACCGCCACTAATTTTAGCCTGGTATCCACCACACAGCTGATTGAAGTGGCTTTTTCTGGCCAGTGAATCCCTTTTTTTTCATTATTTTTTTGACACACGCACGCCACACCACATACTCCGGCATACACTGGCTGTTGGTAACCACCCAGAAGAATGAGAAAGAGAAGAAAGACGTGTGCGACCATAATCGTTGGGAATTGAACCCGCAACCTCTCGATTGGAAATCGACTGCACATACCACTGCACCATATGGGACACACACACACACACACACACACACACACACACACACACACACACACACACACACACACACACACACACACACACATCAATACAACCATGCGTGTCTTCAACCTTTTTATCAACACGCAATCGAATACAGTGAAGAAACCCATGGAAGCTCCAGACAACTGTATGTAATGTGCCCCATGTGTTATTTCAGAAAAGAGAGGACGCTTGCATGCAATTGTTCACGTGAGGCACTTTTTTAAACATCTGTAAGCCCAATCACATTCGCAGCACTACAGAGACCACACGATTACTACTACAGCTTCAGCTACATCACGATACACACACACACGCGCGCGCGCGCGCGCACACACACACCACACACACACACATACACACACACACACACACACACACACACACACACACACACACACACACACACACACACACACACATGGGTACAATTCTGGGTAAAGGTGCAGTTTAGGGTCCCACATTATTTCGCACTTTCCCAGTGTTCTGTGTACTGTCACGCGTGCTTTCTGTGTACATGAACCCCAGAAACCTTGCAAAGCAACAGTACTCAGTGCACAGAACACTGGGAAAGTGCGAAATCATTTGGGACCCTAAACTATACCTTTACCCAATTCTGACCGAACCTGCGACAACACTAAACTTCTTAGAAGCAGAAATCAACATTCTAAATGCAAGCCTTTTCTAGGTAGCCTCCTGAATTCTACACAGGTCCCATCACTGTTCCAAAGCTGAGATTTTGAGATACAGGCAGAGCAGAAAGAGGGAGAGAAGGTCACAATCTAAAAAAGGCTTGGACTACCTTCAACATACACCTATGACTACTGGATTATCATACATTCACGAACAGGTCTGCTTCATTTTCTCACCAACCTGGGTAAAAAGCCTCCGACAAAGAGAACCTCGACGAGAGCGAGTGCTTGGCCCTAGTTTCGCTTGTAACAGACGAATCCTCCGTCAAGCAAGATGTCTGAGGGTAAACTGAACCGAAACTCAATGAAGCCCTTTAGTTAGGTACGTGGCAAGTAGGCAAGTGGCAAGTAGGCAAGTGGCAAGTAGTAGTATTACTAGTACTAGTAGTTCTTCGAAACAATAATGCATTCAAAGTCAAAAGACCGAAACAAAAGCTTTCTGGGGGAAAATTTTCGTAAAACCGTGATCAGTTTCTGTGACGTCACCATGCAATTACATCACTTGAAGGAATTACGTCATGATTGAACGTCATGCTGGCAGGCTGTGCAGTACAGTGTGCACTGAAAGTCTGTGCAGTAGGCCTTTCCGGATTATGTGTTTGCATATTTTTGCATTTTGGGGGTCAAAATGCATTTTGTCCATTTTGACCCACTTTGGGCCAGGGAGTCGTAAAATACCGGTATTTTACGACTCCCTGCAAGCGATAGGTACTTCACGATCACCATGAATGATCACCATGGTGCCAAATGTCACGCGACTAGCTGTCGCCATTTTGTTACCATGGCAACGGTGGCATTTTTGTGCTTTTTTGGGCAAATTTTTGCATTTTCTTTAGAAAAAAATTTGATTTATAGGGGTTTTTCAAAACACTTTCCATTTCCATTTTAGATCAAGAAAAAACGCATAAAGCGGGATTCACAGAAGCTTTTTTGCGATGCGACACGCGATGCGACGCGATCTGCGATGGATGCGTGCGATGCGAACTCGCGAAATACCATTCACAGAAGAAGTCAGCGATGCGACAAAGTTTTGCTGATTTGGGTACGTCACCATGATATTCGCGCGGTTTGACACAACTTGTAAAAATTTAAAGGCAACTCTTGCACCTTTGTACAACTTTGCTGTAGAAAAGGTCAAAATCGTACACCAAATCGCTTGTCGCATCGCATCGCATCGCAAAAGTTGAGCCAAGCTCAACTTCTGCGATGGCATGCGATGGCCCAGTTGCGTCAGTTGCGTGGGGTGCGACATGGCTGCGATTTGGGGTTTTCCCGGTTTCGCGCCTGTCGCATCGCGTGTCGCATCGCAAAAAAGCTTCTGTGAATCCCGCTTAAAGGGGAACTCCGGTCCAAAATCACCCCCATTTTTTATTGCGGAATCCATTAGAGTATGTCGTAAGTGGTAGAATGGCGAAAACCGGAAGCTTCTACGACAAGGATAACATACCTAAATTACCAATTGCAATTTTCCATATTTGGCACGAGGGGGCCCCCTCCCACCCTGTGACGTAAAACGTTCTCAGCCCGGTCCACTCAGATGAAATTTTCAAATAATTGAAGCAAGAATGAAAAGTCCTTGGCCATTGTTGAAGTGCTTGTTGTTCTGTGCCATGCCCGATTTATTGTCACGACTCGCTGCTGCGTCTCTGGATGCAACAATGTCACGAAGAAAGAGGCGCCTGCGGGCTGTCGTAGCATGGCTTTCCTCTGGCTGACGCGAACCTGACGACAGCTTGGCTATGGAGAGTATGTTGGAAGGATTTTTCTCCGACGAAAAATAACCGTGTCTGCACTGAGCAGTTCACTGAGATGTGCTATGAAAGAGATTTCCAACAAGAGTTTGCACAAAGCATTGGTGGCTATAAGCAGAAGCAGCAGCGACGCTTGAAGCCAGGGTCTCTGCCATCCTGAAACTTGGCGGTACATGTCATACTAATAGTTAGTAGCTCCTCTACCTCTGCTGCCAGCAAAAGCAGACCATCTTCGATTTACTTCCAGGAACGTGAGCACGATGAGTAAAGTGAACGGCATGATTTTGTGCCGTCCAGAACGTAGCTCTAAACGACTACAGAGTACAGTCCTACTCAAAGTCCTCTACTCAAAATCCTAGTCAGTGAAGTCGAGAATTGATGTAATGTACATGGAACGTTATCATGTGTGTTATTTCGGTTCTCTTTATCTGTAAGTTTCCATTGCGTTACTTTCCGGTTGCAGCTACACTGCCACAAATACAAGGTACAGTATGATTTGTAGTCTGGAAATTTTCCATGCTGTCATACTGAAGTGGGCACCAAAACGTGTCCACTTTTCGTACAATGGCATGAGAGCACGGGTACAGTCGGCATGTCTGCCCCACAATGCCAATATAGGGAGAGCGCACGCCAAAACCAAGGAGGGTGTGCTCAGGTACAGGCTGGAATACACCAAGAGCACAAAGTGGCCAAGAAGCTGCACGACAATGTCCTGCAACTTCTTAAAGTACCTGTTGAACGATGTGCATACAACCATTCTCGGCATTCGCAACGGCACACGGCACCGGCACAACCCCATGCTCCCGAACACAGTACAGTCTTGTGCCATTGTATCTGTCAACTTCACCAGATTGTTCATGCAGCTGCATTGGTGCAAAGCATGCGCCCACCCGAAAACACAAATATTGCCCGAGTCAAGAATAGTTATAAATCGTGTCTGTCAACTGTTTTCTACATTCTGCATGCACATGTACCAATGATTATGTGAACGTCAACCAGGCCAAGAAGCATTATCATCATCATCATCATGTCCAACTGCTTCCTCAAAGCCCCAGTGCGCATCTGCATTGGCTTCTGGCACAGCTGCTTTATCTTCGATACCACGCAAGACGGTATCACACGCCGCTGCTTGCGTCCAAAGTATCCATGGGTGAACCATGTGTATTGTCTATACGCCACATGTCTCCAAATCCTGCACAAAACAGTTGGAGAGATGTAGATACACATACCACGAGTGTCTTCATGATTGTGTAAAAGTAAATAGTTTCAGTGTAAATAGTTTCGGATTCGAATTAATATTTCTATGGGCTACTATACTAAAGACACTTTGGCCTGTTTTCAAATTTACATCACTTTTACACACAGTTGAAACACTTACAGTGCTAGGAATAGTATGAATGAAAGACATCGTTGTACCAGTATAATTATATTGGCATGGGTGCAATAGAACTTCATGATTGTGTGATGGAAGTTGGTGAATTTGAATACTGTACACAAAATCATTGCACAACACTTCCCATCTACTTTGTACCGGTACATGAAACATGGAAAGAAAGGAAATAATGAAACCGATTCAGTGAATCCTCACCTGTTTGACCACGGTCCACACCTTGCCCGAAATTCTTCGAAGGAAAGCAATGCCACCTCGAGCACTGATTTTTGCAGGCAAACAACAGCAAACTCTGAGTGCTGCATGACGCCCTGCAGCCCTTCCTGCTCGCCGCGTTTACTGAAAGCTGCAGGAACCTCCCAGCAACAAGTCGACTCGACCTCGCTCCACATCATGCTGCATTGTTCGCAACGGCATGAAGCAGTGCTTCTCACGCGAGCACTTGCAACCAAAGCGTTCTCTTCACGTTCATCTGTTTTGTAGTCTCAGAAATATTACTTGTAGACAGTTTCGCAGACGCTGATGCGCGCTTCGGCTCGAACCTAAAAGGCCTCGGTGTTGTTGAATCCGAAGTGGCGTCCACCTCCACACCTCCCGTGGTCTCCTCTTCCTCCAACATGATGATCGAATGAATACTAGTACAAGGGTTATTGATTGAAGAAAAAACAGTGAATACCTTTTTCAAAATTTCTGCAGGTCTACCATTTGAATACAAAAATTTGGAGGTCACTGAGAACGTTTTACGTCACAGGGTGGGCGGGGGCCCCCTCGTGCCAAATATGGAAAATCGCAATTGGTAATTTAGGTATGTTATCCTTGTCGTAGAAGCTTCCGGTTTTCGCCATTCTACCACTTACGACATACTCTAATGGATTCCGCAATAAAAAATGGGGGTGATTTTGGACCGGAGTTCCCCTTTAATCCGGAAAAGCCTACTGTGCAGTGGACGTGGCAGCTCTGACTCTGAGCTCCAAACCATTCTGCTTAGCTAGCCTATTGTCAGTATTGAGTATTGTGCCACTTGCGATTTTGCGCATATCACGATCACAATCATATCAGTCGTCGAGCATTTTTATTTACTTAGTTGTAGTCTGCAAGGAAACGGTTACAAGTATTGCCTTCTGCTAGTTCTAGGTGTGCAAGAGACTAGGCGTGAGGAGCAGTAGAGAGTTGGGAATTTTCTTTGGGAGCAGGGAATCATAAAGGGTGTGCCAACATTTTTACGCTTGTGTTGAGGCACTGTCACCAGGAGCCCGAAAACAGAGGGTGAAACATCCCATTCGTTTGCAGCAGTGGCTCCAGCACTTTCCATGTGAGTACAGCAGCAGTGTGCGTGAGTGCATGTGGATGATAAAGTGCGATAATTATAAAAATATGAAATAATTATGAGAGCGGTCTTAGTGGTCTTAGCGATTCTGAGCACTGTGTTGACAGCGGACTGATTCTACTGTGAGAACGGTCTTATACTAGTAGTTATAGTGATGCACAGCAATGCAATGAATCATCAGGTCTACAGATACGCATGTTAGCACCATGGCAGGGAGTTGTATAAGAGCAGGGGAGGACACGGCATGCAAAAGGTCGTGCGATGTGTGCCTCACAATTCTCAGTGTGAGGAAGCCTTTGGGTAGAAGTCGCGGGAACCCCAGAATGGGCCGATATCTGTCGTTTACGATGATATACGGCGAAGAATATCTGAAATGGATAAGGAAGGACACAGAAAGAAGCCTCCAGTGACAGCGAAGAACCAAACAAGCGCCCATCCCGATTGTGCCTGGTATTCCTAGATCAGTTTTCTGGAGAGCAACGGGTGGGTGATGTTTGGCGATGGGAACATAACATTGTTAACCATTGTTGGTAAAAACTCATGAAAAATTCACCATGTTTCAATCCCATCCCCACTCTCACAGTCTTCTGATTTGCCCAGTTCGAGTGGTGAGTACAGTACGCCCCACAAGATGATTTCCTACCACTGACTAAACACTCTGGGAGAGAGGTCGAGAACGGCCAGCTCCCTAATAGTTTTCTTGTGATCTGTCACATCGTGAATTCTTGTACCCCGAGAAGTACTCGGCGGGAAAAGCGGGTGCAGAGCTGTGTCAACCAGGATCCTCGGTAATCAACGGAGCGTTCTCTCCCGGGCTTACACGTATCCCAGGCACCATGGTACATTTCTCGTACACAACAGAGGATGCACCTTGAATTGACTCTCCGAGTACCCCACCAGTGAACTCTGCGGCCGACCACACACACACACTTCCCACAATAGCAAGAGGTTCCTTCTGAGGACTGAATTCCTTCTGACAGCTGCTTCGGTCATTGAGACCTCGTCAGAGAAAGTTGAATTGTTTTAAAAATGGCTGGAAAAGAAAAATACGGACGGCACTATCTCTTCGTACTAAACTAAAATACACGTAGAATGGAACTTGTGGTGGAATAACAAACGGCAATAATAAGTCGTATCACACGGCGTACTACTACGGATAACATGTAACATTTCGGTCCTTTCCTTTAAAATTAAATCATGAAAATATTATATTAAACGAATGAGATACTTGTAATTCAGCTTTCCGATGGCAAGACTTGAAGTTGCATGGTTGGCATTTTTGACCATGTTACACGCCTCAAGTCTCATGTTTACCGGTGTATGCAAGTGGTTTGGTAGGTGAGCCTTGCCTCGCCTTCCAATGCGTTGCATGTGGAGGGTTGGTGGACATTGAATATTCATTGATTTCTCTATTGCGGCATGCGTTTGCGGTGTGTTTCAGGGCAAGCTAGCAACACGGCAGTGCGGAAACACTCATCACCATGTTGCAGCACTTCCTTCGACTTTTCACCGCGTAAGGACCAGACTGCAGTCTTAAGTGTCATGTTTTTTTTGGTTGTTAGTCGACATTTTATGACTTTTTAAACGAATCAAAGATGGGGTAGTCGACTTACAACCAGGTTCAACTACTGCTGATCATGTGATATTGAACCGGTAAATCGAGGCCGCAAGTATTGGGGGTCAACGCATAACCGGTAAGATACGGTAGTCCCCCCCCCCCCCCCCCCCCCGGCACTCTTCAGTAACACAGGGTGTAAGCTCACTTACCCTATTGACAGCGTATTCCTTTGCTGGTTTTGTGTATCTACATGTACTAGTACTCATACTCGAGATTGTTACCACTCACTTACAGTCCATTCCTAACAAGATGATCTCTGGCTCCGGTGAGTTCGCGTATCTTGGTGATTTTATTGTACCCGATGCAGTGACGCAAAGTTTGATGTTTTAAAAATGGGACAAAAAAAGGTTCAACTGGGGTTTGAACCACACAGTGTACTGTTGCAAGTGGGGTCAAGCAGTTTAGATTTATACGTACATTGTCTTCCCAATTCAATGCTATCGGTGCAAAACATGGCCGAAATCCTTGTTACGGTTTGCCTGTTGGAGAAATAGACCCCAGAAACATAATTGGAAGAGCATTCCGCAGGGATTGCAAACAAATTCTTTTTTCAACTCCAAGTTTGACCCCGCTTATTGCCGAAAGTAAGATTATCATCTCTTTGTGAATGGACTGTAGTTTCAGTGAAGACAGTGTGTAGTACAGGGATTCACTCTGATGAATGGAAGTTTCCATATTCTTGTTTGCAATGTTCTTGCTGCTGCTCTACTTTATGTACTCTGTCCTGCATGTACTTCAGTCTCTCCAGTCTCTGACCAATGTTATTTGTTTTTCTTGCTGCTACTGCAACCACTGCTTGTCATTGTGTGCAGATTGTAAAGTTTTATTTTATTTTTTGTTTTGCTTTGCAGTTGTTGCCGCGGTCAGGCCAGTGAAATAATGTTCTGTGATTGTCCGTATAAGAGGCTTAAAAAAAACTGCAACCACTGCTGCATGTCAAACATTGTGTTTTGCTTTCCTTCTCGTTTGGCCTTGCAGCACTCAGGCGCACCAACTAGTACAGCGGGTTAGTCCTTTTTGAAGTTTTTTCTCCAGTGATGTTGCCTTTAGGAGAGGCAAAGAAGCGGGGTGCTGAGACGCATAACGAGTTATAAGATAATGAAGGGTGCAGAGCTGAGGCAAGGTTTCTGTATTCTTTTCTTTTTTCTACTTCATCCCCGAAACATGTTTTCTTTCTTCGTGTCTGAAACCTATGGTATTTTGTTTGCAGCGGAACGTTTTCTTTTCATTTAGGCTCCGTCAAACCTTTTAAACTGAGCACTCAGTCTAGCTTGCATGCTTGCCAGCATGGCTGCGTATTTGGAGGCAATCAGTGTGTACTGGTATTGTGCCTCTAGAGCTCTGCATGCCATGCACATGACACTGCATGGCTCCTAACTTACCATTGCTATTCTATCACTCATAACGGTGTTGTGATGGCTGCTGTGTCTGCTGGTGTGTTTGTGCCCTTTCCAGCTGGCAAATTCCCAAGGAATGCGTATGGCTGCACGGGCTGTGGTGCGAGGTGGCTTCGTGCTGAAGGACAGAGGTGTGTGTGTGTGTATGACCAGGACGTATTGTCACTTTTGATAGTGTATGTTCTGTGGGTACGCTGTGTGATCAAAGATGTAGCCTTACTGCTTTTGATGGAATTTTGGTAGCGGCACTTCATTCAGAAGAAAATATGGTGGTAGTGGTGGTGTGCCCTTGCTTCATGTAGGACCGTTGCCTGTACGATGGAACCTTTTTTCCCCGCTCTGCACATGCCGAGCAGGGGTACCCAATTGACTTGCTTCACTCCACTGGAGCAGAATGTACTATCATGGCACTAGGTATGTTCATGCTTATACCTCATTACACATGTCACCATTAGTTGCTGCTAGGAAACCGAGAGCTGCAGGAGCCCAGCCATCGTGCACAGATATCACCATCCCGCGTTGTGCCTTCCTTGCCCTCATTTCCTTGAATTTGTTCTGCTCTGCAGCTGCGCTGAGGTCACAGCAACTTAGCCGAGAAATAGAGGGGACGGAGGCGCAGAAGTCGCTGGAGCAACTCCTCAAAAAGATGAAGAAAGTCAACGAGCGGCTAAAATAACTGGAGCAACTGGCTGTGCAAGTACAACGTCAGGCATGTCTGTTTATAAGAACAACTGACACATTAAAGTTTATCCACTTGAACAGTCGTTTATCATAGAATTTCTGCCGTTTTTACACAATTTAAAACTACTCTTTCACTCAAACCGTAAGAATGGAGCAATGATCATAAAAGAAAAGAGCAGAGTGCTCCGCAGTTTGAGCTGTTGTTCGCTGCTGCTTTATGCCAGCTAGGTGAACGTAGAAACATAGAAACTATTTTTTAATAATATGTTGCCCTCAAGAGCTGCACTGGGCTTCCAGCCAGCTGCTGGCATATGATAACGATTGAGTTTGATCATGATTATGAGCATGGTGATTTGTCAATGGAAAATAATGTTGATTGTAATCACTGCAGCATGGTATGCCATACACTGGGAAGATAGAGAAGGAAAGGGTGATGAAAGCAGAGATACTTTGGGCGGCTTACTTTGGTAGGGAGGATTGCACTGTGTCTGGACTTCAGGGAGAATTAATTTAGGTCAACATGGCCTGCTTAAATTTATTTTAGCTATGCGGCTAAATACACAATCATCTTCACCTACAAAGTCCGTTGTAAAGCTGAATGTCTTTCAAAGGAGGGTTCAATAAAGTGCTCAACATATTGTCTTCCTAGAACATTTTAGGCGAAGCACCGGGAGCAACTAGACAGCGGTCTGCCGATGCGGTGGCGATGCTTTTGCTGTTGCCGCTGGCACCCAGTCTCCGCTCTGATCCGTTGTGCTGACTTCGGAGGACACACTGCGCGTGACCCGTACTCGCTCTCTTGTCTTTGCCATTAGGTTCTGCACGCGTGCACTAAATAGCAGCAGCAAACAGAGAGAGAGAGAGAGAGAGAGAGAGAGAGAGAGAGAGAGAGAGAGAGGGAGGGAGAGAGAGAGAGAGAGAGAGAGAGAGAGAGAGAGAGAGAGAGAGAGAGAGAGAGAGAGAGAGAGAGAAAGAGAGAGAAAGAGAGAGTTAGTTAGTTAGTTATTAAGAGATTATCATATCCAGTCTTTCCATTCCTTCCGTTCCTGACTTTCTAGCCGTTCGCCGGCCATATTCAGCGTATAAAGTACACACAGAGCTCGTGTTGTGGACATTGGGCTGGCCTTGCACATACCTGGATGCAGATGAATTAGAGGAGCTGGAGTGCATAAATATCGGCAAATTCTCTTGATCACTCTCATTGTCTGAGCTGTCGTCTGCACCGAAAACACCACACAGAGAACAATGCTGGGTGTGAATAATTATATTGATGACGGATACAAGCATCATAGTTACTTCGAAGTACTACAAGCTGTTACCGGTACTCATACACTCTATTCGTGTATTCACAGTCCACTGAGAAAGAATTGTGCATGTAGACTTTGCTGTGATCTACCCGGTAGATGGGGTCAAGAAGGGTAAATACATGTACATGTGGTCTGCGGACATCCGATTGTCTCAGCTCGGGTTCTGATGATGGGGATCGGCTTGGGTTGATTTGTTCGGATTCTTGACGTTGCGGAGTAAGCCACACCGAAGTTAAATTCTCAGCCAGCTTGTATAGATTTCGCTAGCATGACATTGGTGTGGAGTTGCACGTCCAAAAATCAAGGATCAGGACTCAAGAGTTCGAGCCTAAATTCGGCCAGTACCGGGTTTGATAACCCCCAGGGTGGACTGAAATGACTGAGAATAAGGAGTACTGCGTTGTACATGTAGCAACAAACTCACCACTTTCATCCTTGAATTCAAACTGCAGGTGGACACGAATTAGACAGCAGACAGAGAGGGGACTGGGTTAGACATTGCCGTTGAAGCGTACAAAGGCTCTAGGCATATTACATTTTCGCATCTCACCCGTCCAACAATCGGTGGGTGAGGTCGCTGTAGGTACAGGAATCTGGTACATACGTGCATGGGTGCCGAGAGATAAAAGTGCGACAAATGTGGCACGGGAAAATTTGTATGTTTACTGGTGCCTGCAAATGCTATTTTGCCCCAATCAGCGTCCTAACGATGCCAATTTTACGCCATTTCGCCTGTGGGTGCGAGTACCATGGAGGATAGTGTGAGCGCTAACCTGCAAGCCATGTTCAATATAGGATTGCAGGACACATTCATGCATGTAGATAATTGGATATTATGTTGAGTGAAGGGTCATTCCATCAGACCTAATAGACAGATGCGAGTGGCTTACCAGTGACTTGAATGCTGCTAGGCTTGTAGCCGGCATTGTGTCCCGGCTGGTTGGCCGTGGAAGTGACACTGATTTCCTATTGTGTTCAACCGGGGAGAGGACAGTGAGAACATAGCGTGTGTTTAGTTTGCCATAATCTGTTTCTTTTGATGGGTAGTCAGTAGTCACTCTGTACTGCAAATGCAGCCAATATTGACACAATGTGGATGCAAATGAAAATGAAAGGAGCAGTTTTTATTGGACCGTTTTGTGGGTAATGGGACCCAAACTGCCAAAGACATTCTACTACAGAATTGTATGCATTATGGGAAAGGGGAGCTGCCGTTAATTTTCATATTTCACGAAATCTACATCCCGGATATTCCATTCCCAACATGAACAGGTCCTAAAAAGATCTACATTTTGCTCTCACCATTTATCTTGCGATGCCGAGCCACGCAAGCCACCAGCAAGCTGCTGCCCTCCATGGGAGTGTGGGAGCGTTCCTGTAGTGCCGTGGTTGCTGGGCGTGCTCTGTATATAGAATAAAATAGAAACAAGTTTGGAAATTGGTGGCAACACTCGGCTCGTACGCGTGGCTGAAGACTTCTTGGTATTATTTTGATGATCAAGCTGCACTGTTAGGCTGCCAGGTGAAACAGCGAATCAAGTCAATAAGCGTATTGCGTGCGCTACCATTGCACACACCACATGATACTGCAGTAACAAAGGCACGCCCAACACAGTTCCCAACAATGCAGTGCTTGTGAACGGCCATGAAGAAGTGGACTGCGACCGCAACTAATGGCACTGCGAAGCAGTCATCTAGTCATTGTGGGAACTGTAGTACAACTTCCTCTATTAATTGTGTTGAGCTAACCACTATACTATACCTTGTTGACTTGTTGAAAGATACTGGTGATCATGGAGACGAATTCTTGCCGTACCTGTACAGTATTAGTGAAGGCAGCAATCAAATCAAAACAAAACTAATTAAGCCGGGCATGGACTGATACAAAGTGAGAGGTTGCGACTCCGTTGGCTAATCTAGAAGAAGGTGGCTGCTGCTCCAAACTATTACAGCGATCGAATCAAGCTTCTATCATGTACTGGTAACTTGTGTAGGAAACGTGGTAACTTGTGTAGGAAACGTGCTCTGGGTTCTTTGCCACTACTCACGTGTGACAGCCTCTCGCTGCTTTCTTGCGTGATTCTCTGCACTTCCTCTTGCGCCGACTCCTTGCTCTGGCGTGCCTGGTTGAGATAGAGAGGCAAAATCGAGTGTGCAGCATTTCTTAGCACAAAATAGGCATGCCATGCACTCCATGGATACAGCACACCGTCATGAATAGTCCTCGTTTTAGTCACATGTACATAGTACACACACGACACAATGCGTGCAGGTGCTGGTAGTATGCTAGCTATACAAGAACATAACATGCAGACATAAAAACAACACCAGGATTCACGAGACCATCACACATTCCTCACCTCAGCGAGCTGCACGCGTAGCGAGGCGTTCTCATGAACAGACCTGTGTGATGCAGAGCAACAACGGATATCGACCACTGGTTAGCAATTAATAGTGTATCCAGGGAAATTGAGTCCGCCATTCTCAGGGTTAATTTGGGGCACATTACTAGTCACAATACTGGTAACATTAACGTCCTAAGATGATCAGTACGGTATTATTGTTCATATACTGTTTGTAGTTCAGTGGTACTCGAGAACACTGACAAGACAATAATGTTTTCGTTTTTGATCAACTGCAATGTACTACTCGTAGTTCTATGGGGCAAATCGGTGTGTATTCACTGGGTCTAAAGTACAAAGAAGAAGAACTCCCACTACATGTACGGGGAGAATGAATCCCATCGCTGGTGTGCGTTCTTCTACAGAAGTTTTTTTACTGTGAAGACAGTATAACAACCTACCTATCCAGCTGCTCCTGCGTTGACTCCAGCTGTTCGTTCAGCGACCAGCATGACTCGATTGTCATCAGATAGTGCTGGCACAAGGTCTGGCCATCTTTCTTTGCCCAGTCCAGTGCACTCAGGTCGTCCTCATCATTCTGCATGATGTCGGCCTTGCCTTCGACCAGGACGCGGAGACATTCAATGTGGCCAAGCTGACCAGCCACGTGTGCTGGTGTCACCCCTTTGTCGTTGCTAAAGTCTACGGAGAGAGAGAGAGATGAAATTGCTGCAATTAATTGGACTATGACTCAGATCCTATAATGGGCAAACACAGAATGTAGTACATCTTGGCTTATCCGCACTTCATGTATATAGCCCCGCTTCAATTTCCATGGTTTCACCTTTCTGTAATTTATTCGCGAGCACATGCCATGATTGTCTGTTGGGCGAATGCAGGAGGGGGGGGGGGGGGGGGGCTGACCGCATGTTCTGCACTAAATGTCTGCAGAGCAGTGCTGACATGTCGATATGTACTTGTAGGAAGGTATGGATCTGACTTACCCACCTGCTTTGACACATCCTTCCTTTTTTTTTCTCTTTTTCTGTAAACCCCTGCCCAAAGGGATAAGTGAAGGACTACGGTACTATCCTGCCAGGGCTTCTGCTTGTGTACATAAGCATCATCAATGACCATTTCCCTACACCACCGATTGGGATTGCACTCTGGTGTCAGATAGACATGTGTCAGTCTGGTGCAGTACAATCAATTCCCGTGCATGAATTGCTCAGAGGTGAACTTGCAGGTAATGTGGCAGCCACTTGAATCTTTTGATATCCTGAAATTTCCGCTCCAAATTGATTGCCCAGCCCTGGCACATGCTTGATGATTTGAGAGTCTGTTGCCAGTACACGTATAATGCAGGGTGGGACGTGTGCATCTGGAGATGAACTGTTACCTACCGTTGATGTCCTTGTCATGTTCTTTGGTGTACTCCATGAGGAATTGCAGACAGGCGTGCTGTAGAAACAGTGGCCGCACAGCACAATGTATTGGGCACATGATTAGTCAATCAGACCAAACGTGTTGCATGACACTTTACCTGACACATCAGTGATCAAGCGTACCCAGCATACTATGAGAAACCCATGTGCTATTAAAGTGCTAGGAGACGATGACATGCATGTACTGATCAGAAGGCACTGATCTACCTCGGAAAGCAATTGCATATTTCTATAGCCACGTCCACCAGGTCCAGCATGCTAGTGCGCCTAAGCTGCCCGCAGGGCCTATGGCCTTCACAGTTCATTTGCCAATACACATACTAGGCTACAGTATACAGTGACAAAGGCATGTGCTACTGTACTGCTGCACAGTGATGAAGTGCCTCTACTAGTACTAGTAGTACAGCCAGTGATACTAGGTTACGGCTGCACGTGAGCCTGACATGTGCATGATAGTACTGATCAGGAATTTTCATGCCTTGCAGCAGCTACAATACATCAGAGGATTGTTTGCTCACACAGGGCACGGTGTGTTCAGACAGGTACCCCATGGCTTGCCAGCAGGACCAGCACAACACACAGCCGTCCAACACAACTCACTGCAACATTCCAGTGGCAATGAGCAAATGAATAGTGATGATACATGTACATGACCGCACTGACTCAGTCAAAACCCGATGATAATGATGATATTATTATGACACAATGCACATAGCCTCACTGGAGTGCTTAGTGCATGAAAGGCCATGACACAGGTTCCACTTGAATTCCTTGCTGGAATATTGCAAATAAATCCTATGTACAAGTAAGTAAGCAGAAGTAAAATAATAATTCTTCAGCTTTTTAGTTGGTTTATCTACAATTTATTGGTTCTTGACCCCCCCCCCCCCCCCCCTCTCTCCTCTCTCCTCCCTGACAAGCAATGTGCCCCCCCCCCCCCCCCCCTCTCCCTGACAAGCAATGTGGGACTGCAGAGGCTTTGCACAGTGTACTAGTATTATCTACCTTTGAAGTTACCGTATCCTAGTGCAGTGGAAGTGTGAACAGTGGTTATACTAGTGCAGTGGAAGTGTGAACAGTGGTTATACTCTGGTAAATGTAGTGGAATGATCCCTAGTCACTGTACCTACCTTGCCGTGATAGCATGCATGATGTAACAAGGTGTTGCCACATTCGTCCGTGTCCAGATCCCCATTGCTGGCTATCACCAGTCTTTTCAGACAGTCCACGTGTCCACCCTGTAGCAGTGAACACACACACATGCATGCGACACGCACACGCACACACACACACACACACACACGCGCACACGCGCACACGCGCACGCACGCACGCACGCACGCACGCACGCACACGCGCACGCACGCACGCACGCGCGCGCACACACACACACACACACACACACACACACACACACACACACACACACACACACACACACACACACACACACACACACACAAAACATATACATGTACTGTCGTGGACATGGAAATCCGGCCGAATGACCGGGGCCGGCGCCCTCAGTGCATACCGAATGTTACATGCCCAGTGCGCAGTGCACATGTTGATGGCATGCGAACTCACGGCTACATGGCCAGCGCACTGGGGCCGCTTGACCTCCGACTGGATTTCCATGTCCACGACAGTACATTCTATGCAAAGGAATTAACCTCATGCACACAGTCAGAAAACAAGTGGACATGCTAAGTTTCCACAGCTGCAGACTTTTCTGCCCAAATTCGGTGAGCGAAACACTTGATCCAGTATGGACTATTCCGCTTACCTCAAGAGCGACCATGGCTGGGGTTCTTCCCTCGCTATCCACAAGAGTTGTAGCATCGTGCGGTGATGGCGCAGCTGCCAACACAACGTCGATGCAGTCGACATTGCCATGGTCCGCAGCAACATGGAGCAGAGTGGACGTGGATTCATTGCGATCGGTCACTGACAACTCATACCCGGGTGAGCCATCTTCAAAGATACTTTTCTGTGGTAAATAGTACATACCGGTGGTTGCAAAAAGAATATTGGTGAGCGCACAACTTTTTCCAATCGACTCTGTGTTCTTGTAAGATCACCCCAAAGCGCCACATCATCATAAGCATAGGGAGAGTATGAAAAGTACATCATAACTTGTAGTGGATCAAGGGCTCTGGGCTTTGTATCACCAACACGATGAACACATTAGGGCATGGCAAAAAGAAGCAACCTGCATTGAAATAATGTGTGTTGGGTGATTACAAATGTCAGACCTAATGCGAATCTGGCAGCTGACTGGTACCAATGCTACTATGCATCACGAGGCATGTCATGTTCAGTCGCCATCTGCTTAACTAACATGATCCATTCCAATTACTTGGAGCCGTTCTTGTTTTCATTTCTAGGCACACGTGCACTGCTCTCACAGGGAGTTGAGGCACCAAAAGAAACATACCCAGGGATTATCATGTAAATGACCTATACCCTTGACTGAGCCGGATGTACGCACACTAAAAAACCCTGTGGAAATGGGTGTGTGCCACCCAGGAAAACTGGCCATTATGTACGTGCAGGCGAGAGCCTGGAAGGAGAACACCTACCAGAGTTTTGGAGTCGCCCGACTCGGCCGCTTTGTAAGCTTTGCTGAGTGTTAGCAATCGCAGGGCAGCCTGCAAGCATACATAGCAGTGAAGAGACACACAGAGTCATGACGAAGAAATAAAAGTCCCCGCGTGCAGTAGGTGTCCTGACACGACGGTTACGGTGTTTGGACTTAGGAACTATAGCCAACAGCACTGGGGTCATGATCAGTTACAAAGCCACAATACACCCTTCTGCAATCTACGAGTCGTAAATCAACGTTGGGATCGCAGATGATGCAAGGGAGCTGACATAATGCAAACATCACATCATAGATGAGTCCAGGGCACTTAGTGCTGCGTATGCTTGAGTAATATAAAGAAAATCCATGATCAACTTGGTCTGATCGAGTTCTCCCCCTGGCACTGTCAGGATTTGTGGACTACCAACAGCGTATGGCTAGGGCATGCTGATTATGGGCATGCATGGACAGTTAGTCAAGCCAGTTTACTAGAAAATGCAAAAATGGAGCATCGGTTCACATTCCAACCTAGCTCGGTGCACAGGGAATCTGGCAGCAATGCCTCCACAGGTGTGCGAAAAGGCTTGTAAGATGTGGCAAAGGGCAGCAGTGCCCCACCAGCTATGGGCATTTGTTTCTTTCCCGTGCCTTAGCTGGGCAGCTGCTGTTTCAACACCAGTGCCCCTTGGAAGTTGAGCCAACTATAGAGAGGTCAATTTTGGTGCAGTCACAGTGCACCACTGGGATGTCACATTGCATTCCAGCATCACAGTACATGGACAGGTACCCCCTGGAAAATTCCCACTACACCGCAGAACCAGCTTTATAGGACACGGGAATGATTCTTACCAGCTTGGCTTCCTTCCGGCTCAGCGACGTGCTTTCACGCCTCGGTTTCTGCTGGTATGCACCGAAGATAACTTTCTTACAGGATGGAGAAGACTGTGTTGACTCGGATGAGTGCAGGGAAGTAACAGATTGTCTCAACTCTTGTCCAACAGTATCAACTGATGTGATTGATTCACTTTGCTTTCTTGAAGCCACTCGATCGGCATTCATTGGCAATGTGGCCAGTCGATCAGCATTCTTTGGCAGTGTGGCCAGTCGATCAGCATTCGTTGGCAGTGTGGCAGATTTTTGAGCTTCTGATCGTGCCTTTTCCGCTGGGCTCTCAGTAGGTTGATGACGGAATGTAGACATCTTTGGAGAGGGTAGATCACCGTCGATGGAGGTCTCCTGATTCCTAACTATACTACTGATGGACGTAGATGATGCAGCAGTCAATGAAGTTGGTAGTGGATTCTGCCGGGAGCTTCTCCGTGACGGGATCATTCGCTTCAGGATTTTCTTTCCTCCCTTCTTGGGTATCTCCGGCGGTACCGGAGTGCTCTCCGTTGGATTACGTCGAACAGCGAGGGCAGGAGTCTCCTCGTGCCGTCCACACCGGTGCTGTGGCATCTGCTTTAGTGTTTCGACGATTTCATCCGACACCCGGTGTGGCGTTGCACTGGGCGGGCGCTGCAGTCGCGGGAACGAGTTGTGCTTGTTGGTCATGGTGAACATGGACGAGTCCAGAGAGCTTCGCCGCGGTGGCACGGCCGGTGGGTTTGTGTTAGTAGGCTTGCACTGCCTGGTGCTGAGACTCAGGCTACTGCGGGGCTCTTCTTCAAAACAGAGAGAGAGAGAGAGAGAGAGAGAGAGAGAGAGAGAGAGAGAGAGAAAGAGAGAGAAAGCGAGAGAGAGAGAGAGAGAGAGAGAGAGAGAGAGAGAGAGAGAGAGAGAGAGAGAGCGAGAGAGAGCGAGAGAGCGAGAGAGAGCGAGAGAGAGAGAGAGAGAGAGAGAGAGAGAGAGAGAGAGTGAGAGAGTGAGTGAGAGAGAGAGAGAGATGTAGAACACACACAAACACACACACAGGTGCAGGTGTGATTAGATCAGAGTTCCAGAATGAGATTCACATTTTACAGTACCCAACCAACCTGTATAGATAAGAATCTTCTGCATACTTATCTCAATCACTCACTCACTCTCATGGATTGGCATACAACTACCGTGTGATTACAGCAACACTGCAAAACAGACTTCTCTCTCAGAAGATATTCAGCGAAGCGCAATCCAAAGGAGGATTATATCAAAAGCAGCCCAAATAGTTGGCTACTTGCATCATCAGAAGGACGAGAACAAACTTCAACCAAACTAGCAGACTCCGTAAGCAAAAGGAAGCTCTCCAGCCGAACCCCAGCAAAAACTGTGGCGATCAGCTCCAAGTATAAGTATATGAAGATAGCAGCTAGCTCTGGGAAAGCTGCTGAATGCCTACTCAGATCATCAGTGCACGGCAACTAATACTCAATAATGGTGTCGAAAGTAGACTGGGTATATGGTCGGCACAGCTGCACACATACCGTGACTGTTCACTGCCGTTGTTTGTGTATGAGTGGACGCACCTGCGTGTGTGTGTATGTTCGTGTGTGTGTGTGTGTGTGTGTGTGCCGCATGGTGATGCCTACCTGCTTCATCAGAGAAGGTTTCCAGGCGACTTGCACTGAAGGAATGTGGTAAAGAATAATGGGGTGGAATTGCAACAACTGTGCTGCCCTTGTCGGTAGCCCTGAAGAAAGACAAAAACACCTTGCTTTCCAGTTAAACTGTTTCATACCGAATAGTTATTAGCCAGGGGCTGCAGCTCTTCTAGTAACACTTCTTCGCTGCTAGTACGAGCTCACGTAAGAGTGCATATAATTGTGCCCTGTGTCTCAATACCTACTACCAAAACCAGCATCACAAGATATTGAGTCTGGGTTGTGGTATTCAGCAGTATGTTTATGCTAACATGGAATCATTGTGGAACTGTATAATCAGCACTGAACAGCTCTGATCAGCACTAATCAGTGCATAATCAAGCAGGTTTATCAAGTCAGGTGATCAAAGCTTTCAACCGTGAGGGGATCTGTGTGTGTGTGTGTGTGTGTGTGTGTGTGTGTGTGTGTGTGTGTGTGTGTGTGTGTGTGTGTGTGTGTGTGTGTGTGTGTGTGTGTGTGTGTGTGTGTGTGTGTGTGTGTGTGTGTGTGTGTGTGTGTGTGTGTGTGTGTGTGTGTGTGTGTGTGTGTGTGTGTGTGTGTGTGTGTGTGATCCATTCTCAGTGGCAACGCCACTACAAGTAAGGGTGTTTGAGAAATGCATGTGACATGCCACACTCTCATGAATACGCGCACCCATAGTCTATTTGCAGCGACACCTATACTATAGCTTTTGTCCTACCAATGACATGAACGTGTAGTGCCAAAATAGAAATTGCATTTTCTAGCATTCAAAGCATGTGGTTACTCACTACATGTGAGCACGTGCAGGATACAAGCAACTGGTATTTAGCCAAAGTCGCTGCCATTAGCCTGCATTCACTGACCACTGTAACCCCTAAGGTAAGGATCAAGGGGTCAAGTGCAGAACCTTAAGCAGCAGGGATTTCTTGATCACACTCGTCTGAATGGTCAAAGTCAGTTCACTGATATTTCATTTTCTGCAGTCTACGCTGCATCCATGCCCCGGGCACCTCCGTGCTAGGTCATCATGTGTTCCCAGAGCATTGCCAAGGCGAGTATCACATTTCCCTGGTACTACCAGACTACCAGTGGCAATGCTGCACCAGTGTACTTGAATCGACTCGCATTCTCTGTCCCGCAGAGAGAAAGTCACGTCCCTCCGCGTACTTCTGTGTAGTGATGGATTTCCCAGGGACGAGCAATACGATGCGTATACCCCAGGAGATCCAGTGACGCCCGTCTAAGGCAATCATCGCTCAATCTCCACTCATTCACCGCTCAACCACCACCCACGGGACACACAAAGTGTAGTCTCTGCGTACTGTATACTTGTATGTGTATCCGGGTCCTTGATCTGGGAACAACGGCACCCTTTAACGTTAGTACTAGTTCTAGTGGTTGCCTTATTGCAGTGGTCTCCTCAGTGGTCTCCTCAGTGGTCTCCTCAATGGTCTCCTCAGTGGTCTCCTCAGTGGTCTCCTCAGTGGTCTCCTCAATGGTCTCCTCAGTGGTCTCCTCAATGGTCTCCTCAATGGTCTCCTCAATGGTCTCCTCAGTGGTCTCCTCAATGGTCTCCTCAGTGGTCTCCTCAGTGGTCTCCTCAATGGTCTCCTCAATGGTCTCCTCAATGGTCTCCTCAGTGGTCTCCTCAGTGGTCTCCTCAGTGGTCTCCTCAGTGGTCTCCTCAATGGTCTCCTCAACAGGTTTTACTGTATGGTAGATTGGTAGGGGAATATTGGTTTGATGACCGACGTGATGGTCGAAAACAATCACGTTTATCATAAAATCCATCATTGCTGCCACCGCATAGCAACCGTCTCCCTGCGCGGCCCTGGACAGTGCATAGATCATCACCGTGCACTTGCATTCCAGCAAACTTGGCGTCGAATCCGATCAGATTTCACTGCCATAGCGATCACCAGCCAATCACCCACAGCAATTAAACTTCCTAATCACATATCCACATGAGTTCATTAGAGTGAAAGAATCATTGGGGAAGTACCACCCATGACATGAACGAGAACCTCTTTCTGCACTTTTGAAACATTTCTCCGGACCTTTAACACACCACTAGAACTTCGTGTGGAAAGGTGAGATGTGAGAAGTGTGCGTGTATCACGGGGAGAAGATGAAGTACACACTGACTTTGCAAATGACCAGTGCAGTACGCAGTCACATCGGGGCTGCTGCTGTGATTCTCCCAGACCCCCAAGACCGGGGGATACTCATCAAGCAAGTTTTAAATAATCAGGCGCCAGCGGAGCCAAATTAGGCGATAGCATTCCGCACGCTTCTGACAGCCTGGGTGCTGAGTGTCACTGCCCCCTGATTACAGTTGGCCGTCTCTATAATGTCAGCGGAGATGAGGGAACTGGCGGGATTGCTCAGAGGTCTCCACACAGGGTCATTGCAAAACTTTCGCATGTATTCCAGCAGTCAGTGTGTACTGCACAACACATGAAGTAGCACCCCCAGGAGCACAACTCACAGTCACTACCAATACAAATAGTGACCACTCATGATGGTATTCAGTAAACCTATGCCTGGTAATGTACACTGTTTCAGTTATCTATGAGAGCTACATAGTCATTGCAGCTTTGCAGAATGACTACTTCAAAATATGTGCAAAACTGAATGCACCCATGCTCTACCAAACTGCCAGGGCTGGAGGAATTTGCTCATTAAAACATTTTTTCAGCCGCCAACCGCCACCCGGACCGTTTCCTCACTGGAGCATGCAGTCACAGTCAGCCACTTGGAAACTGTCTCCACATGATATTCCTCTGAATATGCCAGTTGAGGTACAATCACACAGACACAGACATAATTGTTGCAATCAATATCATTATCATTGTGCGCTTACATGGCGCTCCAGTCGAAGCAGTCCGCCAAACCACCGATCTGCACAACGTAAGAATCAAAAGGAGGACACAAACATGGTCAGACCAGCATCACGAACGAAACGGCGCTTCTTATGATATCTCTGCCTATAACGGCAGTGCCCAATTATAAAATGACATGCCAAAGTCGGAAATCAGCAGCGCTACAACAGACAAGTTGGTGTACAGTTGTAGCAATCACCGACAACTGAAAACGTTCCCAACAAACGACAGCAACAGCGCTGCATGCCGGTCGCCGTTTCATGTCACAGCAAGGCATTTGAAAGAACAAGTTACCAAAACACGACCGACCTGTCAGAAAAGGTACGCAAACACTGATCGGGACACGATACACTGAGTGTGGGAAACACACGCCACAGAGATTCTGCTCAGCGTCCTGACACCGCACTCACCACAAAGAGGTTTCCTCAACTTCTCTTTCCAAACATAAGAAAACTACAAGGCAACAAGCAATACTTGAATAGTGCGACACTTGCTAGTGCGCCCAGACTTCAACATCCTACATTTCTTCATGGACTGAGCTAGCCAAGGAATCGCAACAACTCCGCTCGTGCCAATCAATGATGCATGGAGAGAAGGTAACGGGGAAACACTGTCTACGGCGTCACTTATGTGAACAGCGAGGTGAGAAGCCAACCCCTCACCAACGCTACGCACAGCCAGTGGCTGGTGGTGTGTTTGAAAGTTTGAAGCGCGGACTGAACCCCAGCCGGTCGGTTTCCGACAATGCGGACCGCACAGAATTATGACTGTAGTGACGAACCCTGCTAATAATCGACCCGCCAACGACATCTGTGGCAAGCTGTAGTATTGAGTTTGCGTACATACAACACCTCGGCCGGCGAACCTGGAGAACAGTAACAGTTATTTACCACTATACTGTACAGGACTATTAGGTTAGCATTCACGTACCGACAAGCGTGGTCGTTTTGGCCCACTAACGACTTGACGCACGTCCTGTCACCTTGGGAGGTCGCACTCGTAGATCTAAGACCTGCTGCTTTCTATCTCTCTGTCTACCTCACTTCGATGAGATGATCACAACAAAGCGCCTGGTGTCAGCAAAGGTACCCAACCATCTACTATTCTAGGCCTGTTCTACGACAACCACACTCGGCCGGAGAAACTTGCTACAATCCTTAGCGACACACCGGCGGATTGGTATACCAGAGAGCGGAGTGAATGTTTTGAATTGCTCGAAGAGTGCGAATCAGTTTCACTTCGTGACGTTTTGCAAGCCGGTAATGTTATAAGGTTTCTCTACTCTCGGCGCGTTTGAAGTGTTTCTGAGTCCGTAACACTACTAATACAGCCACGACTCTCCGAGACCCCGATCCCTACTGCGTGTACATGTCTGCACCACGGCTAGCTAAGAGCAGTGTGGTTGTTAGCAGTACTATTAGGTCTATAATCAACATCTCATCATCAATTTGCACGCGAATATGGGCGCGAAATGGGTTGCCAGTTCGCCATTCTTCTGCGCCCTCTCCCGCTGGAGCTGAAAGGGAAAGAATTAGGAGAATCCTCGATATTCGCCTGGAAGCAACGGCAGGATTGCATCAACTAGCCAACACCTTTCCGCCTCGCGCGTTTGTGCTTGATTTTCTTCTGACCCGCAGCTTTGAGCTCTAGCACCAGAACTCGAATGCATCTAGTGATCTACATACTTTGCCGCCTAGTTGTCGGGCTGGTGATGGACAAATAATACTTAGTAGAAGCTGGTGCATTCACCTGCTGCTGTCGAGCCTGTTGTCCAAAAGCGCTCGAGGTGTTGCTGGTAGTAGTACGGCCCTTGCAGTCTTTCATTGTGATATGCCCCGAGCCCATACTGCAGGAGCACTCGAGCAAGATCGCGCACGACCTAGCTACTTCTTCGAAAGTGGGACGTCGGAGAGTTGTAGCGTACTCCACATCCGCTAGCGATTAATGGCCAGCAGCTCGCAGCGCACCTGGGGACTCCGTACTTTCCGCTTTCACTTCGGATTTGTCCTTGTGCACGAACGGATTGGGAAGCTGTCGGGCAGGATGCACTTCATGGGTCTTTTGATCGCCTGTGAGGTTGCCATTTGAACCGTGACGTTCTCATTTTCGCCTACACTGCATGCTGCTGCTTCCGATCCGATGATACATGTTCTTCCTGCACGTGCGAGGAAAACAATAAGCAGGGCAGAAAGGAGACAGGAGGAATGAGTTCCTGGATGAATCAAGCCAGAACTGATCGGTGAGTTGGTCGGTGCATCGTATATTCTTCTTCGAACTACTTACGGATAAGCTTGTAGTAGTTGTACTGTGAATGTAGGTTTCAGTCTTCTCCTGGCCGAATCTCCCTGACCAACCACCTCCTGGCCGAATCTCCCTGACCAACCACCTCCAAGGCTCCAGGCGTTGTGCGTAGTGACGTTGGGAGCGATCTCGGATGTTGCTATTTAGCTCTTCAGTCTCTTCTTTATCACTAGTTTAGTAGTCACCATGTTTATACTACGCTAGCGTCGAATTCACACGCAAGAGTTACCGATGTGGGATTATTTATCGGAGACACTCACACCTTTTCACAGATACTTCGTGCAGCGCTTGCTTCAATGATGCTTGCTTGGTCCGCGAGCTGTCACCCTTCCCTTCCAGCGCTATGTGTTACTATTGGCAGGACGTTATCTTAGTTGTCTTCTGCGCCGTCGTCTGCTAAAAGTGACAAGGTTCACCGTACCGAAACGCACCTTATACGCGGGCTAGCGGAGTGGGCTAGTAGATATAGCATAGAGTGCACAGTTCACTGGTGAAAATTCATCGCTCGACTCAACATCAACCATGTTGGGTTTGATAGCATCGTATACATGTACGTGAATGTTAGGGTATGCATACGGGTGTGTTTTATCGCTGGCTAGAACGGGAAGGCCAGCGGTACAAGTAACGGGAGCCCGCGGGGAGGTCGTGTTCGACGGCCGCCAAGCTTTCATCACCTTTGCGGCCTTCCTGATAGGAGGTGTCGCTTTATCCGCTTCTTAGCCAGGTTTGGCTCTGAGTCACAGTGAGTGCTGAGGCAACGATAGTTACGTGCACCACGCGGAGTCGGTGACAGTAGTGGCAAGAGGTTCTGAGCAGGTGAAAAATCGTGGCCTGTTCAAACTGATATTTCTTATCTACATGCGCGACATAAGTAAGGTAGTCGGTGACGGTCAATGACATGATGTGTCATTGTAATCAACTCACTGAATAGAGAGAACTTGTAGCCTTTCACACGATCATGTCTTACAGTGCACCTGTACACGTATACACGCATAATTACCAGATCACCAGATCACTGTCTGCTATACTCACGCTAAGTGCAAGCCGATCGTAGTCCACACTAGAGCTGCTGCCTAGCCAAATTGGCCTGACAGGTTGCCGCCGCTGGTCGCGATGTTCGTCAACGCCGTCTTGCTCCTTCTCCTGCTCCTCCTCCTTCACACGTCCCTCCTCTCCTTTGACTGTTTTGTCCAGCTGCTGCTGGCTGCTGCTGCGGCTGCTGCTGCTGTTAGTACTGTCAGTGCTGCTGGCAATCTGCTTTGTATGCTTCGGGCAACAGTCAGCATCCGTCAGACTCAAAGTAGAGCCGTCCTCACCACACACTCGCTGCTTTCTAGCTCCACCGATAGGCCTGCACAAGACAAAGAGGCGGACATAGAGACGGACTGCAGAGATTGAAACCAGTTCGAGGTAGGGCACGTATCGTGTGACCTGCCAAATCCACCGATTTCTACTTCCGTCTTTGAAGTTTTGTACTAGGCCCCTGAGGCACATCATGCTAGTACAAATACTACAATACATGCAATCATGTACATGTACATGCGCTGCCACAATTTCGCTGCTGTGACCACATGGTCCTGCCATTCAGGGAAAAAACACGTGAGATAGCTTTAACCTGCAACTGTGCTTCCTACGTTGGCACTGTTTCCTCAGCCCCGGAACTCTGGCCAAAGCCGAACTCGTGATTCATGACGTATCAACGCAGGGTTTGTCTGCGAATGTGTCTGTGTGTGCGTGTTTTGGGAGTGTATTGTTTAGACTTTAGAATGCAACGATTCCCCGGTGCAACCACTTTCTACCTCAGTGAAACGGGTCAATGGTGGCACACTCAATCGGCTCTCTGTGACACCATCGTTCCTGTCTGCAAATAGCACTACAGCATTGCGTTCCTAAGTGAACAACACCCCGCTTCAGTTGTGCTTTATGATGTGATACATAACAACCATGTATATTGTGGGGGAGCTCCTCAATAAGATTTAGAGAATCTACGAGATGAATACTGATCATTTATAAATTTTATAGCTGTGCAGTCTGTGATATTTAGCCTACTATACATGTAGGTACTTGGAAACATGGTTCAATGGAAGCCACCAGGCAATGCTGCCAATGACATTGGTGAATCTACATTGTATCTCTCTCTCTCTCTCCCTCCCCCCCCCCCTCTCTCCCCCTCCCTCCCTCTCTCTCTCTCTCTCTCTCTCTCTCTCTCTCTCTCTCTCTCTCTCTCTCTCTCTCTCTCTCTCTCTCTCTCTCTCTCTCTCTCTCTCTCTCTCTCTCTCTCTCTCTCTCTCTCTCTCTCTCTCTCTCTCTCTCTCTCTCTCTCTCTCTCTCTCTCTCTCTCTCTCTCTCTCTCTCTCTCTCTCTCTCTCTCTCTCTCTCTCTCTCTCTCTCTCTCTCTCTCTCTCTCTCTCTCTCTATCTCTCTCTCTCTATCTCTCTCTCTCTATCTCTCTCTCTCTATCTCTCTCTCTCTCTCTCTCTCTCTCTCTCTCTCTCTCTCTCTCTCTCTCTCTCTCTCTCTCTCTCTATCTCTCTCTCTCTCTCTCTCTCTCTCTCTCTCTCTCTCTCTCTCTCTCTCTCTCTCTCTCTCTCTCTCTCTCTCTATTTATTTCACTCTTGCAAAGTGATAACGCTTCACTGGCGTCCCTGCACTTGCAGGCATAGATCTGTTGCCATCAAAAAGGCATGCCTGCACTTTGAAGTACATGTACAGTACATAGTACCAAAAGTACCTGTACATGTATATCTGACTAGCAGCACCCCCGCCAGCGTTGCCTGGCCGAATGTGGCATGCGGGTGAAGCAAGTACATGAACAGCACACGTGCTCAGCACGTGGTGGTGGCCAGACCGCGCGCTGAAGTCCTGGTGAGGGAGGTTCTTCATCGTTGGAAGGAGAAGGAGGGACGTCTGTTACGCCTTCGGGAGGCTGGTCAGGGTTGTCCATCACCTGGTGGCGTATGAAGCGGCTCAAAAAATTCAAAAACTTACGAACAAAAGTGCGATGCGCTCTTCACTGCAGATCAGATGCAGAGTGCAGTCAGTGCAGATCTTTTGTATCCTTTTGTTGCAGATGTTTCTATTTGCAGAGAACGGTTCACGTGGTCCGCAGCGCTTGTGCGGCTGCTAGTGCTACCTATGGCCTAGGCTAGGTGGCTACATGATTCGCACCCTTCGCGTGCTCAGTGCTTCTGCGCGCGGCTGCTACTGCTACTCGTACTGATCGTGTCTGCTATAAGTATAAGTATAAGCGCTACCACCGTAGAAATAAAAATCCGAAGGAAATACGACAATTTTACTGCGTCTGTAGCTTGTGTTGTAGCGCACCCATGTTCTGAATTCCTGCTGGGTGGGTCAAGCCAGACTCTCTTCCCTGTTCCATCGCCTCTCCAAAAGTATATTCTGACATTGTTGAGATTTACAGCTACAGATGAGAAATTGCACACCTGTCAAATCGTTTCTGATTCGAGCACCCGGGTCTACGTACGTACCTAGTACCTACACTGTTCGCACGCTTCGCGTGCTCAGCACGTGGTGGTGGCTACACGATTCGAACGCTTCGCGTGCTCATCAGTGCTTCTGTGGCTGCTTCCGCTAGCTACACGACTCGCACGCTTCGCGTGCTCAGTGCTTCTGCGGCCGCTAGCTACACGGTGCTACACTGTTCGCACGCTTCGCGTGCTCAGGGCAGCGCTGCTCCGCAGCGCTTCAGCGTGACACAAAACACACGTCACAGGTGCCTCTTCTTTATAAGGAGCGTGACACACACACACACACACAGACACACGTCACAGGTGCCTCTCTTTTATAAGTAAAGATAGTGTGAAAAGTGCGCATGTTATCTACAGAGTTGATTGAATTCAAGTCACTCTGTGCCTGGCCTCCGAGGGAAGGGTGGGCAAAAATGGAGGTATTCCGGGGCAGCTCTATGCCTAGCGGACATGCTCTGCATCGCTGAAAACTGCCCTCCCACGCACTTCCATGACTTGACTGCCTGTCAAAACCTGATTGTCTGTTCAAGGTCCTATTGGCTCAGTTATGTTTTCATCACCCAGAACAAAAATGACTCCGCGATAGAGTTAGCATTGTGACATGCTTCAAAGGCACTTGTAGTTTCTGGAGATACTATCAACCACAATCATGTACATCATGTAGTACTAGTAACTCAAGTACAAAGGTCCACATTTCACTGCTCATGACCATACAAGTCCTGGACATACGTACATGTACCGTGAATACTGTAAATCCTGGTACCGTTACATGTTCTGCACGTAATGGATAACATGGGATAAAACTGTGCACATCGCACACAACACCGTGACCGTACAAGCCCCTCCTGAATCGAAAGCCCATTGACCTAGCCGATGCTGGGCAGGTACACCAAACTAAACTTTCCAAAGAAGCGTCGCCGACTCGCCCTACGGCCACAGCAGCGTCGTCACAGTGCTCTTCCTGTACCGTGTCCACCGATGAATGGTCCCGAGGGGACTGGCCTCCGAGAGTTGTGTTATGACAAAACGACATCAGTTGTGACACGAGCCGTTCACATAGCGTTGGTAAATTACTGTAGTACTAATGACTAACAACAAGTGGCAATAGAGGCCCAAAGCGTTACAACTTACAAGAGTCTCTGTGATGTCCTACATGCTCAAGAGACGAACTACATGCAATAGTAGAAACCCAGGGCCATGTTTCCTGACATGCATGTTCTACCTGCACTAATATGCTTATACATGTACATGATTGTATTAATCTAACCAAGGCAAGAGTAACGTCACACATCCATTCTCTTGGTCTTACCAAACGAATAGAATGGTCAAGACTCATGCAGTGCCGGTACTCAATAATAGTACAATCAGCATGTGCAATGATATTCTCTGATCTGATAGGGGCGCGGTCCTTCCATTTGTCAGGCCTCAGATCAGACAGTTGTATCGTCCCTTCCTTCGTTTTCCGCTACATAGACGCCGTACGTACATACACATAATATACATGTACATGTACACAGTCACAGGCACACTATCACAGTTGCAGTTATTGTGTAACGTTAGTGTTACTGCACGGTGCTCTAAAAAGGCGTAATGCAGGTTGAGGCAAGAAGATCAAACCCCATGAAAGGTCAGGTACTGGGCGGGCGCATGGAGTGGCCAGGGCTTGCAACTGTCTTCAACTGTTCAACTTCAAGTCATGAACATGACTGTGTAGTCGCTACAGTGCAGGACAGTGCAATGATGTACTGAATACATGTTAGGCTATCGGTAGCCATCTGAGGTACGTCCGTTAGTCGGTAATAATGCATGATGGTCGGGTGTTGAACCTTACTACTACTAGTCTTGAAGATGGAAGAGAAGATTACATGACTTGTGGCACGTTGAAGTAGGTACATGCGCTTGTACAGGATACTACTAAGTATTCGGCCGGCTCATGTGCTCATGAACAGCCGACGACCTCCTGCCACTCTCGCCACACACTACGCTGTGCATTCTGATCAAGCAGTCAGGCATCTAGCCATTGTATGACTCTCTTATGTATACTTACTATCTCAGTACAAACCATCAAGGAGCGGGTTAGATGTATACAATCATGTACATGTTCATGAACACACTGCATGTTATAAATTATGCACTGCAGTTCCACTAAACGCAACCTCATTCACAGTCGGGTAAAGATCGACTTCTTCCTAGTCTCGTTCTATACATGTACATGTACGTACTAGTACTAGTAGTATGTATGTATGTGTATTATGTGTGTGTGTGTTTGTGTGCGCGCGCGCGCGC